ATAATAATAATAATAATAATAATAATAATAATAATAATAATAATAATATTAATAATAATAATAATAATAATAATAATAATAATAATAATAATAATAAAAATAAAAATAATACTAATTCTACTAATAATAATAATTGCAACGAAAATCAGACTTAGATATACAATGCACAAGTATTATAATGCGTATAGCAAAAAACATAAATTTATTGAAAAAATATTTAATACTTGAAAAAATGATATAGATTAAACATAATTTCTTTTTGTTTTTGAAATCATGGTACTAATAACATACCTCTAAAGGTGTAATTCTTCAAAACACTTTAGGATACTTTGAACCTATTTGATACACCTGAAATCTTGTTTATATGCTTATTTGTTCTTAGTAAATATACGTATGTACACAACATAAATATTACATAAATATTAGTTAACTTGCCAATCGTATAAATAGCAACTACTTTGCAAAAGTAAAAAAGAAAATACATATTAAGTTTAAAAATGTATACGTACAGGAACAAATATTTGAACAGCTTTCGCCGTTTATTGTTAAGCACGGACTTGGAATCGCTTTTATGTGATGTATGCAAATATGTTACAGAGAAAATCTTTGTCCACATTGTTAACGTCATGTTTTAGTCATGTTAACGTAAAGTTCTATCTTCATACGTTTTTACGATTTATCACGTTGTATCTTCACTTTACATGAGATTATCACGATACAAATAAGTATGTTTAATTATATTCACACCTGTGTCTATCCAAATTCAATTCCACTATTCCACTATTTTGATATCACTATAATGGCAAAGTTTGGGCTTAGACTAATTGCTAGACTAAAAATGTATATATAATACAACATGTTGAAAGTGTTTTCATTTTCATTTATATCTCGATTTACTCTCAACAGCTCTTTCATCATTTCTATAATTACAGTCCCTTGTTAAACTTTAATTATAATTAATTTTTAGAGAGTTTATCGAAATAAAATTATTATTCACAGAGTTAGTTTTTCCCAAATGTTAATATAGAATTCTTCAATGTGAGAGAGAAAAACACATTTGTTCAACAATTATGTATACCACTATACTCGCACATATATTATGACGTTTAAATAACAAACAAAACCATATTGTATAGCACCACTAAGATGATACACTGTTGATTTGCGTATTACAAGACACCGTTAGCAAACTGTTATCAGTGTTCTGTATAGGCACCTGTGAATCTGAAGTATTAGTCGATCCTTCAGTTGCACGCACAGATGAATTATGAATTTTCATTTCTTCTGCATGATTTACTGAAATAGATGACGACGAAGACGAAGTTGAGGACGAAGATGATGTCGACGACGACGACGATGACGACGATGACGACGACGACGACAATGAAGATGACGACGACAAAGTTTCCGCTTGATTTGACTTTACTTTTAATTGTTGTTCCATACTATCAATATTTGCCCAAATCCTTCTTACTTCTTTGAATAACTGGAGGGGAAAAAAAAGACGGAAAATGTATTTGTATAAATCATTAGTAAAGAAAAAAGTAATGAAAAAAATAAATTAATTAATTACTTGATTCAACCAAGCTTCATCCGCTAATAGCTCATTTAATATTATCGTTGTATCCTTATGAGGATTGGCTGATCTTTTATCCGTCACTCTTCTTGCACATTCCAAAAACATGAGATACTTTTGATGAGCTACTTTATTATATAAAGCTACCTTATTTTGACAAACTCGACATAGCAAAAAATCCTGTAAATTTATCTCATGTCAGATATAAAATAAGAACAATTAGAGTTAAAAGATATTTCATGTTTCATTAATAGACGTTTATGTGCATGTGTATTATACTGAACCTTTTCTAATGGTACTTTTGGATCAGGAGGCGAGCCTTCCAATGTAGTACTATTATATGGCTGACCGTAAAGTAAAACTCTAGCATAAATTTTAATTTGTTGACAACCAGCGCATGGTTTGTTCTTATATTCAGATGGTGGCAAATCTTTTATTACGTTAATGCACGGCCACGTTGAAATTGCAGTTATAAACTCAGATCGCCACTTTGTGGTAGAAAGTAGACGTTGTTTTCTTTCATCTGTTACTTCATCAACTGTCTTTACATTGGATAAGAAATAATCATCTGAAATAAAACAAAAGGAAGAAGAATAATTATAAAAACAATGTAATTATTAATGAGCTAAAGTTATTGAATATTGTTTTAACCTTTCTCTTGGAATATCTCAGTTAAGAAATTAGAATCCAAAGCTTGTGAGATTAATGTTTGTATGTACACTTCAAAATTATCTTGATATTTTTCAGTGTCCTTCATTAACTTATTTATGCATTCACTGAAAGTGCAAAGAACAAAATAAATTAGATTTTTACATCCTTTTCTTTAAAGTTTAACAAAATATTATAAAATATTCACCTGTCATCAATGGTCATTTCGTCTCTTAAAAATTCTACAATAGTTTCTAATTTGGATTGTTGCCAAAATTTAACTGGCACTTGTTGATACATATGGCGATTTTGTGGAGTCCAACCAGAATACTGAAAAAAAAATTATATTTATTATATGAATTATATTAATATTAATATCCTTTATTATTATTAATTTTTGTTATTATATTATTTCATTACCGTAGATATGTTTCTATATAATGTCTTGCCATTGGATTTAAATGGCTCATATTTTTGCAACAACGTTTTACCGTCTATTCTCCATAGAGCCGGGTATTTTTCATCTAAATCTGTTTTGATTACAACAAATTCACCTGACTAAAAATATAAATCTATGGTTATTTTATTATTCTACGAAAAGAATATTTGATATACAACATGTAAATCATTGAGGTTCTTAACAAATATATATTTGTTTGCAAATGATCTATGTAAAAATAAAAAAACAAACAAAAAGAATAGAAATTACCACATCTTCAAAATTGTTGATGGAATGCTGCATGCAATAATAATATTTATGATTTAATTTGTATTGGCGAACCTTCCTCAATGGTATTAACAAATATACAAAATATAATGAAAATATAAAGAAATTACCTGAAATGGAGAAATATCGATGTCATCGTCGCTGGCTGATGTAACCAATTTCTCATCTATTTTAGTCGATATCTTAGCAGAATTGCTACAATTTTTCGAATATACATCATGTCTTTTTCTGCCAGATTTTTTCGGAACAATAATTTCGCCGGACGAATAACCATCTTCCTCTAAAGACCTTTTATTTTTTTTCGTAATAAGAGGTCGTCCACGTTTCTTTCTTTTGTCTTCTTCATCTCCAACTAATTTGACTGCCGGAGTCCATGCAGGATCAGAATCAGAATCACCTTGTTCTTCATCGTTATCAAAATAATCTATACCCTGTTGTTTATCTAAAAATTGTTTTACTGACGTTTTTTCCTTAGCTTTTCTCTTGGATGTTTCTCGTCTTGGAGGTAAAAGCAGAGGATCCACTAAAAAGAAAAAGAAAAAGAAAAAGAAAAAGAAAATCATCAAGAGATTACAATTTATACATAAAAACGTATTCTAACTATACCTTCTTCGAACTTCTTTGATGCTTTTCCACTAGACGCATGAATAGGTGTTTCCGTGACTGCATTAGCACCGGCGGCGGCAGCAGCAGCAGCAGCGGCAGCAGCAGCAGCAGCAGCTTTTCGTTTTCTATCCGTTGGTCCTCCAGGCTTAATTGGTCTTCCTTTTTTAGATTTACCTTCCGGTTTTGTGGTAGTAATATCTGCTGCATTAGTGATTGCATTAGTAGTTGTTTTCTTTTCTGTTTTTTTAGGCGGAAATAGAAAATCATCATCACTGGTAAATCCATCATCGCTCGAGTCAAAGTTCGGCTTTTTTCTTTCTTTAGGCAATGGAAAATATCTAGGATCATTAGCATAATCAATTGTTGGCATTTCCTTTGGAGGATTTGATTTTTCAGTTAGGATTTTAACTGTTTCTCCATTTGTAGAAGTTTCCGAAGGTTTGCTAGGCTCCATAGGAATATATGGCTTCGACCTACTCCATGTTGCCTTTCTACCACCTCGTATTGCAGGTGGAGGCGAAGGATCTCTTTCACCTTGTAAAAATTTCAAATAACTTGTCATGAATCCTGAATTATTAGGATCTTTTCCAGGTTGTTTCAGATTTTTGTTCATTTGATTAATAGTTTGCAATGGTTGTTGATTTTGTTGAAGAAAACCTAATTCCTCTTCTATATTAGGAACGATAACTTTTGGTTGATCGTCTCGTATTTCTTGATTATAATTAGAATTTTGATTGACTGCATTTTCCCCAAAACTAATTGGCGTTATATCAACAGAAGATTGAAATTCATGGGTATGATGAGGATGATGTCCTGGGGGTATATGGAAAGGTGGAAAATAAGGAATAGGAGGAGGTGCATGATGATGCGGTACCATTATTGACTGATGTTGATGTGCTGGATTTCCAACAAAATTATTCGAATGATGTAACGTTGATTGAGAACTAAATGCAGCAGGTGCACCTGTAAAAATTTTAGACGGAGGTGGAGGTAAATTCCACCTTTCTAAGTCATAGTAACCATTTTGTTGTTGTTGATTTGTATTGTGATGCGCAGGAGGTGGTATTCTACTTAAATATTCTGCCATAGTTGCTCCTGAAAGTTCATTTAGCGTCGATCCGTGAACTACTCCCTTTTCGGAACTTTTCTTCTTTTTGTTAGCAGAATCTACTTTGCGTCTTTCTTCTACTTGTTTTTGTTGATCACTCAGAGCGGTAGATGTTGTATGCTGCTGTTGTACTTGACAGGAACTTTGTTGTAACGTTTGTAAATTTTTAACGATACTCATCGGATCTCCTCTGCAGCTACTTAAATCTTGCAAAGTAACTTGATTGGAATCGAAATAGGGTTGCTGTCTCTCAGAAACATTTAATACTCTTTGCACCTGCTGTTGAATAGGTAACGTTTGAGCATTTATTTCTGTGTTACCAGTTGCATACACTGCCACAGAAAATTTTCTGTTTGCGTTTGTATGCCTATTATTATCATTTTCCCAGCATATTTGTTGCTTTTGGGTTTGAGAGAAGTCCTGTTGTTGTTGCTGTTTGTCATAACTTTTAGCTTCCGTATTATAAGTTGGTTTATTATTTTCTGTAGTACCTAATGCCCTAGTTATCACCGAAGAATATGCAACTTGACCCTGTGATGCAGGCCGAGGAATGGTAACATCAAGTGGCGAAGGTGGTGTAACTTGTTGTTGAACTGTTGCTTTGTACTGTTGTCCGCTAGAACATTGATTTCCATTATTTTCAGTATGTTGTTGCAATGGTGAAGGAGAAGATATTGTTGCCATTGGGCTATTATACATTGGATATGCAGGACTCGGTACATGTCCTAGCGGACTAGCTTGCGAATGTGCTTGCAAGGGACTTGGTCTTCGTGGTACAACAACACTGCAGTCTGGACCATTTTGAGTTGAATTGTTAGAAGAATAAGCAGAATCAGTAGATGCTGTTGATTTGGATCTATTAGAATGGTGATATTCAGTATCGTTTGCTGAATTGGTTACATAGTGTCTATAAGATGTTGCTGATTGCTGCTGTTGACTTAAAACATGAAACTGTTGTTGCTGTTGTGGATGTGACTGTAAATTATTATTTGGTGGTGTCCTTTGGTTACTTGCAAGTTTACCACTATTATTATTACAATTTGTAGTATTATTAGTTCCATAATTCATGCTATGCGTATCCATGATAGAAAAACTGATAGGCGATGATTGATTACTATCATGTCCTGCTTGTTCATTCCTTCTATGTTCGCCATGATTGCTTAATTCGGGATATATTTTTGTTTGTGCTTTCGTCTGTATACTTTGCTGAGATGTTGACGTAGTTTTGTTAGGTGGAGAAGGAAAACTACTATTTTGTAAAGGTTGCTTATCTTGAGCTTGCGACGACACAGATCTAACAGGTGTATTTAAAAAAACTGCTGCCGATCCAACAGATCTTGCCGATCCAACAGATGCTGCTTGAGGAATTCTATATTCCTTGCTAGGAGTATTACTCGGCGTGGAGACAATGCATGATTGTTGATGTTGAAGAGATCCTTGTACCTTACCATTTGCACTTTGAGTCCCATTACCAGTTGTGTAATTATTTGTCAATGTTTCTGAATTAAACGTAGTTGGAACTTGTTGGAAAAATGTTTGACTTGAAATGTTATCTCCTTGAGTAGTCGAGACTACCAACTTTATGTTAACATTTGGAGATTGAGGTCTAATATTTACACTCTTTTTTGCATCTGGATAAGTTGAAGATTTAAAGTCTGCTGTTGAAACAGGAGTAGATAGTTGAGAATTGATGTTGTTTATTGCTGATGTCCCAGTAAAATGAGCATTAAATGTATTTTCGTAGGCAGTGCTGTTGGATTTTGCAGAAGGTGGTCCAGGGGAAGATGCAACAACACTTTCATGTGGTAATATACCAAAAGGACTCGGAGGAAGTTGCGAATTATTTTGTTGGGTCCAAGCGAGAGATGACGCAGTGGGCGAAGAAGATGAGTTTTGATGTTCAAAAAAAGTTTGATGAGTCGAATTGTAGCTTTCTCTCAATGGAGATATTTCTGATTCCGTAGTAGTATTTTGTTTGGTCACAGCTTGCACTTGACTAAGAACTTGTCGATGTTGTGAAACATAAGGCGATTGTTTAGAATTGGGATGATGAAACAAGGGAGAAAAAACGTCGTAGCCCACAGGGGGTGGAGTCATAAACCCCCCTGGGTTAAAGGGAGATGGTTGTCCCGCCAGAGTTGCTGTTGTATGTGCGGATTGTAATAGTAATTGCGATGTTGTTGATGGCACTGCTTGATTGGTAGCAGTTGTTAAATGATGTGATACAAAATCACTGTTGGCGCTTGAATTTATACCTTGAAATGTATTAGCTGTAGTTGCTGTTGATGCAAGGCGATTATATGATGCATACCATGGACCAACAGGATCCATTACCCAAGTTTGGCACAAGGGTGCCTAGTCTGCCGCCTAGTCCACTTACGGCAGGCTTTTTTGCGTTTAGAAACGTTGGTGATAAATTTTAAATCAATCATAACATAACTTTCAATGAAAACTTTTATACATTCTTCTTTGTAATTGCACATAAGAAAAAACCATTCTATATACCTCTTCATATATATACATATATGATATATATATATGAACTGATCATAAAAGCTTCGTCCCAATGTTAAGAATTCTCCACTCTATCCTACGAAAAAAACACATTTCTTTATTCGTATAAGCCACATTAACACGAGAACAAATGCAATAATACACATATAAAAATAGAAAAATAAGGAAAAAACAAAAACATTTACATTAAACTATTTACATTAAACATTCGATAAATATATATATATATATAATAATATAGAGAAAAAAAAGAATGAAAAGGAATAAAAAACAACTGAATAAAGAAAATCACACAAGCACTTGTTTGTAATCGCGAAGAAGCGTAGATCGTGGAATCAATCGGGTAATATATATATAAGAAGAGAGAGAGATATTGTAACGAGCACAGTACCTACAACGGTTCCTATTGTCTTACGATCGTTGATTGCTAAAAACTCTGTATTTGTCTGGCAAACAAAAACAAGCACGCGCGCTCTCCTTGGAGTCGACGAGCATCCTTCGAATTAAACGTCTTTTCCTTTTGGTCCTATCCAAACAATACGGTGTACTAACAGTTCACTTCTAATGTTCGGTACTAATGATCAAAGAACGACGGATCGTCGTCTAGTTCTTTCCGTATCTTATAAACTTATTCTTATATGTAACAAATATTATTTCCTTCTTCGATGTCGTAAAACCTTGCTTGGAGATGTTAAAATCTCGCTTATGTTCGCCGGTATGATACGATGATATATAATGTCTTTCTTTAAGAATAACACAGTAAATATGGCCACAGAAACTTCTTGGCCAACGCACGACACACGATCGGGTGGCACCGTTGTTCCGCTCACATGATTCGAGCATACGCAAATATCTGAACATGCCGGGTATACCTCGAGACACCCGGCGCTTCTGCATATACACCAAGCTGATATGAACTCGCACAGGCTCATTTATCGCGGGGAATTTAACGGTATTGCCCCCGTACGCTCATTATACCTCGCCATTTTAATCCAAGTCAACAATAAACTGCGCCATCTATCGATTTGATCTGTATGACCAGCGGGAAAGGATCGATTTTGATTGGTCGACTAATAGGAGGCTATTAATGGCGCGATTTTTTGAAAACTTCTAAATTTTTATAATATCGTCTACTCTATTTTAAAATTATGTGTTAATAGTTAATGTTAACAATAAGTAATACATTCAATCGAGAAAATGTGTCTCGTTTCTTTCTCTTTCTTTTTTTTTATATATCTTTATACATATATATAAAGACAGGTTTTCCACACAATTATTCATAGACCAATCATTCACAATAATAACATTTATTAGAATGATAATGTAAGAATATATCTGTAATTGTTATGATAATAATATTAATAATTATTATAATAATAGTAAACTAGTTTGCAATTTAGATTAATTTCGTATCAATTGTAATAGTGATTATTTTCTGCACAAGTCATGCCAAATTATTGCTATATACAATGGAGAAAGAAAACAATTATGCTTAATAAAATTGTTAAATTTAAATTTTTTATATATAAAAAGAAAACCTTATCTAATAGTACAAAGAAAAAATAGGATTCAACAATAAGACACTTAGTTGATTATATTGCAGATATCAGATAATACGTAGCCACTGCAATGAAATAGAAAAAACAAATCGATATGCTAATTATAGAATTTATTAATAATAGTCGTAATATATTTTTTGTTAGTACTTAATAAATGTTCATACGAATTACTACCTATCATATCTATATATATCTTAATTTTTTTTATATTTAAAGAGACAATCAACAATATGTGTATCATGATATAATTTTATTATTATAACAAATTAAAAATATTCTTTTAAAGCTAATAGTAGTGATAAAATAGAAATATTTTATTCTTCATTGTGCAGTGGCAGTTACATCCCTATTTTGATATCTGGCAATATTCAGACATTTCGTTACTTTTTATTACTCGTACTTGGCAAAACGTTTGTATTTTACATTTTTCTTTTTTAAACCTCCATTTATAACTTCTCCTTATTATATATTTTTGCAAGTTGGAACATCAATAAATTTCTTATTCGAAATAAACATAAATTTCAATGAAATATTTAGAAATATAAAGAATATAACAAATAATCATTTTTGTTTAATCGACAACGACATTGATGCTCGTTCTCTAATAACTTTTACAAAATACCAATATTCTTTTAATTGAGAATGCAATACACGAACATTATCTTAACAATCTATAGAAATTAAATAAATAATCTATAAATTACATATTATGAAAATAAACATGTACTGACGGTATAATTATTATGATCTGACTTCATTTTCAATGAAAAATTTGTAAAAACAGTTTTTTTTTTATGATATAAAACATATTTTAAGTATTAATAAATAAGAATAAACAATGCTTCGGGACAGCATAGGATGTGTAACTCAAGTCGGCTTTGGTTTTTGTGAAATACATCCATATCAATACCTAATTACGGTAACGTTATAAAATGCAATATATGTAGGATAATTGGTATTGCTTTGTTTTATTTGTATGTATGTGTGTGTACGTGTTGTTTTTATTTTCCTTTAAAACATATTAATAAGTAGCTATCTCATGTGCATTTTACGTTGTTGCCATAAGGCGAATTTTCTATATGCTGTATTTAATAATTGATTTAAATGACTGGTTAGATGTTGACTAACAGCAGAAAATTCTCTTTGAACGCGATCCTAAAAAATAACATTATATTAATTTATGAGAAAAAAATCTAAGTCAAAATATTGATATGAAAAATATCAAAATAATATATGATACATACTTCAAATGGCTTAAGTTTAACCGAATGAAATCTATGTAAGGCTTCGTGCATCCTGATTGCTTTCTCCTCGAGTTGTGGTGTCGTTGGTGGGAAACTTCTCCAAAAATGCCTTAACAGTTGACATATGCAGACATATACATTACGTAGTTCTGTCTCCAAATCCTTTGGTATTAATTCTGTAATAGATAGCTCGAACAGTTAAACTCCATTTATATACGCATTTATTTCACAGATTTATATATATATATATATATATTTACGCCCAAGACTTTCTTCTCTAAAGCTCTTCATAAGAGATCCTCCGGGTGTCAATTCTCCTAAGGCTGATACAGCAGCAGCTGGAGTAACTAATGATGTAGGAACTTGTCTAGGTAGACCGTTTCCTGAAATCCAAGAGGCTGCTTCTTTTTGTAATTGATTTACTGCCATTAAAAGTACATCCGAGGGTGCTTGTGTTACTCCAATCCCTTGTACAGGACCATGCAAATATCTGTCTACGTGTGCTAAAGATAATGGTGCACCATTATCTACATTTGAATCGCAAGTAGCATCGAGGTCATCATAAATTAATTTTTCTTGTATCCTAAGCTGTGAAAAGATAAGATATGTAAATGTAAAATCTTTCATGTCATGAATATTATTAAATATATAGGAAGAAAAAAGAAAGAAAAAGAAAAAAAGAACTTTCTTACCTTTTTATTCTTTGGTTGGACATCTGATTCATCATTGGCAGAAGTTTTACTTGCTGATGGCGTTGAACCATTTAACTGCGGTTGATAATTTTGTGTAGATTGTTTAGCAGTACTGGCTTTCAAAACCATGATACTATGCTGATTAAATCTTTTAATCATACTCTGATGAACGATATTCCCAGAAGTTTTGTCAGATTTACTTAAACCGCTTCCATAATTTTCATCTAACGTTTGATCCTCGAAGGAAGTAATATCAATCAAAGGATCATTTATTCCAGATTGAATATCTTTCTTAAGTTCTTGATCATCTATTTTGGCACATTCGGTAAATAGATCCTTGGTCCCTGCATTGATACGATCACGATGAAAATAATGTGATTGAAAAAATTTAGTCCAGAAATCTGCTTCTGTCATTTTGTGAGGCACATTTTCTTGATGTTTTCTTTTGACTGCTGGATAAGTTTTAAATATACATTCTATAACATCTATAGTTAAATTATATTTCAGCCCATTGCAACCATCAGTCTGTGGTTTAATATCAGCCTAAAACGTCGAACAAATGTTTAGTTAGTTAATTAGTTAGTAATTGCAAAATAAAGTTCCCAGTTCATACTTGTAACGTAAAAAAAAAAAAAATAACTACAAACTTAAATAAGTTGAATCATTTGTCTTACTAGAAAAGCACCATTGACACCTATCTCTTGACGTTGGACTTTTTTAGCACGTGTGTATTCTGCAGCATGTTGCGTCCAAAATTCTTCAGAGGTAATCACTTGCGGTATTACAAGATCGCGATATAATTGTAACAATACAGGATTTTCTTGTAACATTCTATAAAAGAACAATATTAATATCGAATGGTAATTAAAAGAAAAAAATACAAATACAAATACAAATATAAATACTTACTTATTTTTTTCTTCCAATTCTTTATTAACTTTCCTTTTAAATTTTGGTAACAGTTGCTGTAATAATTCCTTAACATCGTCACGATCCTTAATTTGTGCTTCCTGTCCATTACGATTGACAAAATGAAACGTAGACGAAGATCCATCGTGCAGAACCACTTGTAGCTGTATCTTTGATTTTCCTTCAGGCGATATCTTTTGTACTAAAAACAAACGATAGAAATAGTTAACAAATGATATTTCATATTTATCTTTTAAACAAACACCATTAACTATATTAATTATATGTAAATAACTTACATATATTATGTTGTATGAAACATAATAATAAAATTTGAAAAGATATGCATAATTGTTTAATACATTTTTCAAATATTTCACAATGATAAATTCATCAGAGATAAAAAGCGCCTTGATTTTTACTATTTTTTTTATTAAACATTAATTTATTAATTACAAAAACTCATTAAGTTCTTACATTTAATATCAGCGTATTTGTGACTGACAGATACAGTATCTCTATTATCGAGCATCCAAGCTATTCGTTCATTCATAACATATAAAGTACCATCTCCCTTCTTGTAACGTACTTGTCCCACTTGCATTAAAACATCTTCCGACGATGTAGTCATGGTGGATGTAATTTATTGTATAATTCTTCTAAGATCAATAGATAATATTCTGTAAAAGATAAATCATAATATTGTAACAATTATCTATTACTATATATCAAGAAAATATTTGAGTTTAAAATTAGCAATGAAAAAATATCTAATTATATACATAATGTTACTTTTAGGTAACATTATGGTTTATTTGGATTAAAAAAAAAAAAAAAAAACAGTAAAAATAAAATATTCATAAATAACGTCAAACAAATAATGATAAAAATAAAATCTAATAATTTCTCGTCTATACACACAACAAAGGAAATAAGTTATGTGTATGTGTGTGCGTGTATGTTTGTACATGCGCGCGTTAGTAGAGAACACGTAGTTCTATATAATGACACCGATTTGTTTGTCATCATGTCCTTGAGAACGACATTGGAAAGAGAAAAAACTAGAAAGGAAAAATATCATTTCAGTAAAGTGATCAAAAAAATTGGCCGAACATGTACATAATTAAAATCTTCGATAGGAATAAACATGTGTGAGAAAATGCTGTAACGGTGTGTCTCTTTCTTTCTTTCTTTCTCTCCCCACCCCCTTCTCTCTATCTCACTGTGGTAATACTAAAAGGATGCGGCAGTAGTACGCACTTATAACTTGTAATTAACATTTGCCGATGGAAAATTTCTATTTTACACGATCCTAATGATTAAATAAACTTTTCTCATTCACCTGAAGGAAAAATACAATGATAATAGGGGAAATTACCGGTAGTAAAGTGTGAAAAAGCGTAGAACGATATACGGTCCTTACGGGCGGCACGGCCATGTGCAGAAACACACATCGGTGGACGCATCGCGAAGCGAAGACGGCTACGGACGGACCGTAGGTATGAATAACACCATCGACCAGCTGAAGCCGGTATACTACGTTAATCGAAACTCATACCAAGACATTATTTTCATTTGCATACTTTTATTTTCTTCCCTTTTACTCTCTTACCCGATTATTTCTTATCAATAATATTTTATATTTTTAAACGATCATATTTCATGTTTAATATTTATTTAATTCTTTTTAACGATATCAATTTTTACACTTATAATTGTTTACTTGACTAAAATAGCGTTAATTCACGTATGTAATCACTTTTGCGCATGCGTTTATAAGCCTTACACTTTGAGCGCGCCAAATTTAAAACATCGAAATATTCTGATAATTTTAATTTATAACCTATTTGTGTTCTTTGTATTACAACGTACATACATACGAATTTTTAATTTAAAACAATGGAAGGTATGATGAATTATGATTTTATTTATTTTATTAAGTATATATTATTATTAATATTGAAATTAATGGTTATTTGTGTCCTTCTACAAAGATTTTCAGTATGTAGTTAAAAAACAAGAACGAACAAAAATCTGTTTTGGTTCTGGATGTCCACGCGATATGTCTAAAAAAGGCATGACTTCTTTTATGAGATATTATACGAAAGATAATTATGAAAACATTGCTCCTGGTACATACAACGTTATGAATTCATTTTTGGCTATTAAAAATAAAGTATGTTTATGATTGTGTGTGTGTGTATGTTACCACAGTTTAGTTACGTTACATTATTATCTTTCTTATTTTGTTCTTGAATTTTAATAGCCCTGTTCACATAGTATTAGTAATAAAGGATATGGCGGTATTATTAGAGCTGTAGGCGCAATTGAACATAAGAATGATTTTCCATCTCCAGCAGATTATAATCTTATTGATAGTTTCAAGCCTGTCAAAGAATCAAAAGCTCCCTTTTCATCTTTTACCAAAACATCTACTTTTTCTACTAACATAAATCCAGGGTAATCTATTTAATTAGAAAAAGCGAATAAGTGGTACCATCTATTTATGTTAGATTTTAAATTATCGTAGACCTGGAACATATACACCGGTAAGGAAGAAAGAAATTGCATTTGAGCATAGTTTTGGTGGTAGAGTTAAGATGAAACTGGGAGTTCAATTGAAATGTTGTAGTAATAATACAGATGTGTGTAAAAACTGTGGACAAAAACCCAAAGGAGATTATTGGCATTGGAAGGATAAAATTTTTCTTTGTAGATTGTGCATGATTAATTCTCTCGAAAAACAATCAAAGTATAAGAGAGAAGAACTAAATCATTTTTCTGTAAGTATTTTTACCTATCTCAATATTACAGTGACCACTATTTCATATCATAAGTATCTTTATTTTAGAGAGTACGCGATTGTTCGGACATTCATCGGCATGATGGTACTGATGCTAATATTTGGTTAATGCATCCCAAACTTCTAAGAGAAAGGCTTGTCAAGGAAACATATCTTTCTTCTTATTTAAAAAATTAAATTCAATGCTTCGTCAAATTTTGCATCTTTGTACTCTGACGTATTTATCAATCGATACAAGCAGCAAGGCATTATAAGTAGACTTATTTTATTTAACTTTTAAATAAACTTTATATATAATGCGATCTATAATTTGATGATCTTTTATCTAATTTCTAGCTTATAATGTATAATCAACTTCATATAATATAATCGTCGATTTATAATACATTATGTGATCTTATTTACACAAAGATGATATAAAAATATTGATATATAATTATAATACTTATAATAAATACTTCAAATAATATAATAGACGTATTTCTAATGATAGAATGTGGATAGTATTTAACATTTTTTTTTTTTTTTGATGATTATTTACGTATTTACGTATACAAGGTAATCAGTCGATAGAGAAAGGACGTTTTTGACAATTTCTTTTTAAATGTCATCTCTTATACCTACACTCTTACACGTTCATATTTGGCAAGTATTAGAAATTAGTGAGATTAGTAATAGCATAATCGTATTACTGTAATAGTACAGATTCATATTCGGTATTTTGATGTTACTAAGAAAGTATTACAAAGTAGCAAATTAAAAAGGCAATATATTTTGGTAAGAAAGTTAAAATTCTGATCAACATTGATTAATGATTTTTGAATTTTATGTCCCTTGTACGTCAACACAATTTTAACTGCTTGACGATAAATCTGACGTATCGGTTGTTTGCTTTTGGGATAATATTTTGGAACTGTCTTCTATAGGATTTCCACCATCCGGTGCTTGTCTCGATGCAGCAGAAACAGATATGTCCGATGAATTGTAATAACTATTTTCATCCAATTCAATTTCACTTTGTCTCGTCGATGACTTACCAAGAGATATAGTAGTTGTTGATTCAGTACTATTACTTGCCATTAAATTGTTATTAGTAGGATTATGAATAACAGTTACGTGAATATTACCATCAACATTTTCTGAAATACCAGAAGGTGTAAGTCTAAAAATTTCTGCATTTCCAGAGGATTCTTCTGTCGTTCCTTTATCTTTTTCATTGATCTTTTTATCTGGCGATAACGTTATTGGTTCTATTTTATCTTGCATATCGTCCAATCCATTGTTTATGACAATGCCAAAACTCTTAGAATATCGAGTATCTAATTGTTCAACTGCTTGTGTCTCCGGTGAGACGCTGTTGGATACTTGAAGATCTGGCACTAAATGTTGATATAAAAGTGGATTGAAAATATTATCTAAATCCATGTGGCGAACATTGGATGTAATAAGTAGATTTGTCAGCTCGTCATCATTTTTTAATGTATCATTATTTTCTTCCGCCACTAACTCTTCTCGTATAACCGTTGATATTTTACTGTGAGATGCATGTAAATTTTGGTTATCAATTGTTGTCGTATTTGTTGTTGTAGGAACGAGGTTTGGATGAGTAGAATTACTCATGTTTTCTACTTGCATAGGTTTCAATTTTTTCATAATTTCATGTTTGCTTTTGTTATTATTTTGTGCATTATCCTTCTGAACGGTTGTTAATAAATCAATTACATTTCTTCTCATAGATGAACCGACTGTTATGTAAGGTTCCACTGGACGTTCTAAAGAAAGCTTATCAAGCAAATGATTTATATGTACTTTTGTTCCTCTTAACGGATATGTCTCAGTATTGTACAACGCATTATCATTTTGCGTATGATAATCCTGTTGATAATGATTATTCAATAAATTAGAGTTTGATTGGGAAATAGGATTTAAAGTATCTCTGGTATTAGATACATTTACATTTGTTACTAAATTATCATTCATTCGTTCAGGTAATTGTTTATATTCATTATTTGTATTATTTGTATTATTTGTATGCACGCGCGTGTACATACAATTGGTTGATGTATTTTGGTGCGTATCGTGCATATCATGCATATCATGCATATCTGACACTTGAGCAGCTGTAGGAAGTATAACGTCTGTATTTCTATTTTCAATATTTTCATTATCGTTATGTATTTCGTTCAAGTCAAAGTCATTGTCAAAATAATCTTCGAAAGCAGTGTTTGTTACATCGTCTAAACGCGACTGTAGACGTTTCGTAATTTCATCTAACTCTGCTAATTTTTGTCTATGAGAAAAATAATTTGAATTAATTTAAATATTATTTATATTGCTTCAAATAATTCCATTATTCTTAGAATATTATTAACTTACTTTAAAGACGAAGAAAGAAAAGACATAGAAACGTCTTCAAAACTTTGAGTAATGTCTATCGTAGGGTGACCTATGTGATTATCAAAGTCAGTATAACTGCTTGTTGTTGTATTATATGTTGCTGTTACAGGAGCTTGTTGGATATTACTTGACTGTATATTGTTCAAAAATATATTATTACTGTATAATGATGATTTGTTTGATCGTGACGAGTCACAAAATGGTATTTGTGTAGTACTCGTTGATGTAGATGACTTTACAAAAGCTGATATATTATCCAAAGGAGTTATTCCTACCTAAAATTTAATTATACAATAAGTAGAGGAAAAAATTAAAAATTACTTGAATATATACATGATAACATATACATCAAATACATACTTTTATTTGACCATTACATTTTCCAGTAAAATCCATGATATGAAACCATCCTGATACAGATGGAAAACCAGTTGTTAGCACGGATATATCAATGGCAGCAAATCCTATGACTACATCTCTTTCCATATCAATATGTGTACTTATGTCTGGATTAAATAAACGCCAGACTTTTAATATCAGCTGTCTTTCATCCTTAACGGGAATAAGAGAAGGATTAATTTTAATACAATTTACTATTAAACGTAATTATAGCATACATACATACATGCGTTAATAATTCTGTGGGTAATTTTATATCGCATTTCCATTCCCATCTTGGATTACAATTATGTGGATAGACATTAGTTATCGTGTAGGATTGCAATTGATTCGTAGAGTCAGCCTGAGTTGTTTGAAAAGTTACATAAGTACTTGGTTCTATACTTCCATTAAGTTTGTCTACTTTTGGTAAATGTAATGCGCATTCGATCTCGATAACCGCTCTAAAAGAGCTCTCGTCGTTGTTTGTCAAACTGATAGTTTTGTTTTCTACATTTTGTACATTAGTTGGTGGATAATAATAAGTGTTATTATTGTAAGTACTGCTTGGTCCTTGTTTTATCGGTTCATCAAATTCAGCTCCAACGCCAACACTTCTGTACATTTCTGTAGGAAATCTGTAAAGATTGTTCCCAGGACTGTCGCTGTTACTATCATCCGACATACTGTTGCAACGTAAAGAATTAATACATGACTCTTCTTCAATGTCTGTCCGTTTTTTTCTATTCGTTTCTTGTTCAGTTTGCGCCGCTTGATTTTTAGTTTTGGTAACATTTAACGCGTGCGCTAGTCGATCTACTAGCGTATGTAAAACTAGTCTATCTGAATTTAAAACATCATCCTGTGGTATATTGTTAGACATTAACTTTGGTTCTTTAAAAGTTGAAATATCAGTTTGACTTTCTTGAGTTTTAAAATTGATCACATTTGAATTATTTCTGTTAACAGCGTCCATGTGATGCATATGATTATCTTTATATTGAGATATTTCATTGTTTGTTTGCAAGCCAAGATCAACGGTTCTCATTATTTCACTTGTATTGTCCGTTTGTTTCCTTTGATCGTTATAATTATAGGAATAATCATGTATTGCCTGTGGTACCATCACTGTTTGACATTTAAGACCTCTCGACATCTCTAAAAGTGCTATTTGCTCAGCAGTTCCGAGAGCAACCAATGCGTGTAATTGTCCACACGATTGACTAGTAACTGGATTATTGATCGATATCCATTCATCTACACTAATTATTGGATACTGAAAAGAGAATTAAATAGTTTCAATAGTTTTATCCTTCAAATAAAACATCTGACATTTTGATATATAATAAATAAGAGATAAGACATACTTTAGATGACAATAAATGTGGTAGCACGATTGGATCCCTGTAAGCAACGTATAATTGATGCACAGGTAACTTTGCGATTCCCAATAGATTATTCATTCCTATTGAATTTTTATAGTATACTTCTACGATTATATAATTATCTTTGATTCGTTCTAGTAATGCATTACCATAAATTAAAGGTACTAACTGGAAAAAAAAAACGAAAAATATAAAATCTTGAAACACAGGAAAAGAATTATCGAATAAATTACATGAAAAAGAACATACTTGGCAAAAATGGTAATACGGGTTTCGTGTGTTACTGCACAATTGACTTGTACCTTTGTCTTGCAACCAAAATGCTCTACATATTAAAAATGTATTTAATTCCAGTAAATCTTTACCTTCCGCTATATATATTAATCCGTGAAGTAAAATCTGTAATATTCAATAGATGTGAACAACTTGAACAATTTACGAACAATTTGAAATTGACAAATTTCGGAAAATTCTTTACATTATTATGATTTTTGCTGTTTGGATCTGCTACATCTACTTTTCTATCATCAATGTTTTGGTCATTATGTTCTGATGCATCTTTTCTCGTAATCATATTACTAGTATTATCCATGTGTAAACAGTCTATTCTTTTTGTTGAGGAAGATTGAGAAGAAACGCTATTATTCGTTTTGGATTTTGTTCCTGTTGCGGTTTTACATTTATCAATATCTGTATTTAATAAAGATTTCACATTTAACACAGGAATATTTTCCTTTCCGGACATTACAGCTTCTGTAATGAAAATGATTGATTTCAAATCTTCAAATCTATATTATAGAAATACTATTTATTTATTTACCATAACCAGAATAATTATATGGAAGAAAGCAGATAAAAATAATATAAATTATTTATATTTAAACTTTAAACTTACCGATATATTGTTTTCCAAAGTGAATCGAATCACATCCTAATTCTGTAGTAATTTTCAACTCTCCTATTTTAATACCTTTGTTAATTACAGCTAATCTTTGCGACAAACTCAAATTTTCTGTTTTTACAATGTCACTGATATACATCATACCCGAACCTAACTCAGTTGGTGATCTCTGATTGAGATGCCGGAAAAGAATTTTGAAACATAATGGAACATCTTGATGTACATTAAATTTTGGTAAATTATATATCCTCTCATTATTAAAATGAATGACTAGAAAAGAAAAATACAAAATTTAGATTATAGTTACTTATTAGTGTTAATAAATATTAAATATTATAATAGTATTATCCTTACCTTGTCCTGACTTATGTTTGGATGATATTCTTATTGATTTATCATCTCTTGGTAGTTTATGATTCGTTTGCATAACTGGCTTAAAATTAGTATTATATTGTACAAAATATGTTACAGACAATAGCATATTATCATTACCTGAAATCAAATATATATTTCATTAATTGAAATTTTCAATTTCATTCGAGATAATATACAGCATCGAGTTTACTTACGTGATACATAGGATGATTTAACACGACGATAACCTGCAGGACTTAACACGAATAATTCAATAAAAATTCGTATACTATCTACATGATCCAATGGAGACATTTCTAAAAAGTAATAATAAAATAATCAATTGTATATAATTAAATAATAATTAAAAACATTTCCACAGACACACAACTCAATATGTACCATTTTGTTTATCCCGAGACAAACACTTTGTCAATGATTCTATCATTGAGTTGGACGTACTTAAAGATGTTTTAGATGTTTTATTATCATTAATTGGCGCATTATTAGACTGAGAAGAAGCGATGGCTTCTGATGCCAAGTCGATTAAACTAGGCGTTGGTGATGTTGATCTTAAAGTATTTAGTGCTTTATGTTCATCGGATGCACTCATTTTTTTGCCTAAAAAATACTCATATAATTTTGCTTCTTTGCAAAGAGGAACATCATTAGGAAAACCATTACTCGAATCAGTGTCGCTCAATGCCAGAGGATCTTCATCATAAGTTTCTTTTAATATTGCTCCTCTAAGTTTTTGCGCTCTAGCAACAACTTGAGCAACAAGCGTATCGGTCACTGCGGAGTTACAATTGTACAAAGGTTCTTGGAACTTGGCCCTTTTAGTTTTTAAAATAGATCTATAGATATCTTGTTTCACAGGAGTGTCAGATCTGTTTTTGTTAATATTAGTAAATTTTTCACTCAAAAAAGTATCACCAATATCTAATTCTTTGTCATGTGAATCAGCATTCCTAGGAGAAAGCAAAACCTTATTCTTAGATTGCTTCTCTTGAAGTTTGTGTGCTTTCAAACGCATAGTCGCAGCTTTAGATGCATTTAAGTTAAACTTTATTCCAATGTGTACCTCGCCTATTTTACTTTTATTTATATCTAATATCGGGAAGTATTTAAAGAAAGGTTTTTGTTCAAAAATATCTAACAATCCATTGATCTCCGACGTTCCTACGATCTCATTTACCTCCTCGTTTATTACAACTAATTCTATAGTTTCACAATTTTTAATATATTCCTTAAATAGATTGCTGTTTGTTCTGATACTATATATCTCTGCTGTATCTTGGCTAGACCTTACTGTATTCGTTTTAACGTCAATAGGTCTAAAAAGAAAAGAAAATTTCTTTCTTGAGTAATATAATCATTTCATGAATATTGACATTTACTTAGACAATTTGGAAAATGTATTTAATAATTTACCTGAATTTAGCATTATCCTGTTCACCCCACCAAGATGCTAAAACTATGGTATTTCCTGGATTATTTTTATACCAAATAACTTCGTCTATGATTAGCCATAAGTAACCATGAATTTTCCCGTCGACCATAGGTGGTAATGACCTACACAGTCTCACCTTCGAATCCATTTGATTTTTACTATATTATGCATATCTAACTTTCACTTAATCTTCCAAAATTTAGGTTAATTTAAATGGTATCATTTACATCTGATGATGTGAACGATATATATATGTTGATGGTACATTTCATTTACAATACAGCCTTGTCTAATAAAATGTAAATCCTGAAAATAACACTTTCTGGATTTTAACGAGAAAATATACAATTTTATTATTATTAATAATAAGTACAATCTCGGACGCCATATATAAGACTGATATCTCTTGAACGTTACATTACATTATCCTAAAACTTAACTGAGCTGGTTCCCGTATAGGGAGAAGAGGCGCCAGTGCATCAGGAAATTTACTAGATTTCAAATATAGGGAAATTGATTTATTTTAAAAACTAATCTTTATATGTTTCCTATCATTATTAACGGTCATTTATTAAAAGAAATTAATTAATTAATTATTATTATAGCTTTAGAGAGAAGAAGTATCGTTTTGAATTTTTTGGTAATATCCAAAAATCGTAAAACATCTAATAGTGTAAATTTATAGAAAAATATTTTAGTGTCCATTCTTACTATAGTCAAAGGTTAAATGCAACTGTCAGAAGAGCGGGTTTCAGTAAATTTGTTCAGTTTAACCGAAATAGTTTATATTCATGTGTGTTTTTTTTTAAAGTTTTGCATGATTAATTAAAATGTCACACAATGTGTCGAAATCTAGTCCACACGGATTTTGCGATGCAATATTTTCTATGTCGCCGATGAAATTTGATAAAGAAAATAAATCTCCTAGAAAAGATGTGTAAGCTACAATTGTTGTTATTATATTTTCATCGACCACACGGAGTATAATTTGATTTGATTTGATTTGATTTGATTTGATTTAATATTATGTATTAATGTAACATAATAAATGTTTGATTTTAATTGAAAAATTGTATTTTCTAGATCAAGAGCATCATCACGTCGTGATCTATTTACCGAATCACACGTTGTTAAAAATCAAAATAAAAATGTACAATCGTCACATAAAAAACAAAAGTTATATACTAAGAATGAGATTTCACAATTTTTTGATCCATCGAAGAGTTGTTCCAACGTTGAAGATATACATTTGAAATCGACAACTGCATTACTAAATCATGATTCTTTCATATGTGGTAATATAGCAAAAACTCCTGTTAAGACGACAGAATCTACATCAAGAATATCTGGTAGTAAAATTACTTCCGGACATTTACATACGCCAAAACAACATAAAACGTGTTTAACTCCGCGTAATACTAAGATCAATGTATTATCTACCACAAAGACTCCTACTAAAAAATATGTCACCGATCACAATTTATCACAAGCGACTCCTGATTGTTTTAGTAGAGTACAACTTGAAACACCTAGTATTAAATCCAATGATCTTGGTATTGATGAAGGTATTGAAGGTGAAAACAGTAATTTAACAGTGGGTATACGTGTGAGACCGTTAAATTTAAAGTAAGTCGAAAATAATGAAAATAATATCTTCATCTTTCATCATTGTACATGTGTAATACAATGACGACACTATTTTATCTTTACAGAGAATTAAGTGAAGTTAAAATTGCTTCGGTTATAAATATTGATGGACAAAGTATAACCGTTGATTGTGAAACATCGCTACATAAATTTACGTACGATCATTGTTTTGCTTCTTACTCTGATTCATCAATGCCTAAACATGCTAGTCAAGAAGTTATTTTTAATACCATGGCACTACCATTAATACAAAATGCATTTGAAGGTTACAACGTATGTCTGTTTGCATACGGCCAAACGGGATCTGGTAAAAGTTATAGCATGATGGGTGTTGAATCGTTTCAAGAAAATTCCATCGATCTTGATAAAGAAGCTGGTATTATACCACGTTTTTGTCAGCAAATCTTTACACAAATACCCGATAACAAAAATTATAAGACAACAGTGGAGATAAGTTATTTTGAAATTTATAACGAAAAGATACATGATCTTTTGGCAAGTACTACCAATGGAGATAAAAGAACTGCTCTTAAAGTTAGAGAACATCCAGTTTTTGGTCCTTATATCGTAGATTTAAGTCAGCATTGTGTTACAAATTATAAAGACTTACAGGTACTTGTATACAATTTTATAACTACATACATACATACATACATAGGTAAAATTAAAGTCGGATGTTTCTTTTAGATTTGGTTAAAAGTAGGCAATTCTCAGAGAGCAACAGCAGCAACTGGTATGAATGAAAAAAGCTCAAGATCTCATAGTATTTTCAGTATTATATTAACTCAAACACAATTGAATGATTTGAAATGTTCATCCAGTGATGCAAGTCGACGTAGTAAAATAAATTTAGTTGATTTAGCTGGTAGCGAAAGATTAAGTCAAACTTGTGCCAGTGGAAATAGATTAAGGGTATGTATAAAGAGTATACATAAAGAGATGGAATGGTACACAATGAATCCAATATTAAAAATTCGTCATTATATTTTTTTAATAGGAAGGTGTATCCATTAACAAATCTCTTCTTACTTTGGGGAAGGTGATCGCATCCCTTGCAGAAAGTACTAACAATCGCAAAAGAGGTTTTGTTCCATACCGAGAATCTGTTCTAACATGGCTATTAAAAGTGAGTACATTTGATTATTTATTTTTATTTTATGCTTTATTTCGCTTTATCGTCTCAAAAAAAAACAATAAGTTAATTATATAATTTCATATTTGAAATATTTCAAAAGTTTTAAATTAATACTTACTATAAAGTAAAAAACTACAATTTTATACTTACGTAATCTTTAAATACAGAACAACAAATCGGGTTAGAACAGTTTATAAAAAGATAATTATATTTTAATTGGATTGAATTCATTGAGTTGATTATAAGAATGTATCTGCTAATGTAGACGATATTAAGGACCATATTATGCTTGTCGGTTTAGTATTAGTCATCATTGATTGGATGGTGTTACGTGAGTCCGGTCACGTAGGTTCATTCAAACCTTTTATGTATTTACTCACATGTTGTCTTGCAACATACAACCAACATGGTTCGCAGACTATAAAAACACACGTACATAAACGCGATAAGAAATATAATTATTCTTTTTTATCTTCTTCAGAATCCATCTGTAATTATTTTGTACAATATGATCGATAATATTTTGATATTATCATTCTATTTAAAAACACTAACAGTATAATTGTTTGCTTATCTTATTTCATGCGATACATACGCCCTTGGGATCCTGCACGTATTGCTTTTGTGTGCTCTAAATATAACTTTAAATTCCAAAGTTATTATTATTTTTGAAATATTTATTACAATATGCATTTGACACATATATGTATAATTTGTTACATCTCAAAAATATAATGCATGTCGCATACTTTTAAGTTTTATTTAATTATATCATAAAAAACGGGGATTCGATAGTAACAATAATGTTAAATGCGAAGATTTAGATATATTTTTATTATTTACAAGTTGTACGGATTATTTTGTAATATCCGCAAGATATAATAATAATTCGTAGAAAAGAAAATAATTCATTATTATAAATTCGATTATTATTGTCAAAAATAGCAATCAGATGATTCCATTTGTTATGATTCATTAAAAATGATAAAGGATTTATATATTTGTACTGATAATTTACTCATTCAGTCTTATCGCAGTATTCTCTAAATCAAATATTATAGTTAGAATCAATTAGTAAAATCTTTGTTATTTCTTTTTATAATTAAATGGCAACGAATAAGCTAAATTTGGCACAAAATAATTGCTTTTTTTATATTCGCATTGATAACATTAACATACAAAAATTATACCAATTTTATAGCTAAGATTTATATGGAAATGAACCAAATATAATATGTGGGTGTGTACATTTAGCTGAATAAATATTCATAAACTAATCTAATAATGAAGAAATAATGATAACGTGTAAATAATAATATTACGTAATTCTTTTTTTTCTCTTTAATTTACGATAAGATAAAGAGAAGGAAGATATTCGTAAATATAAAAAATTGATATGCTTGTTTTTTTGCTTTTTCTGTTTTTTTTTTGTTTTTTGTTTTTTGTTTTTGTTTTTCTTAATTTATACGTACAATACGTTTTCTTTATCTCTTCTCCTTCTTCTTCTTTTTCTTCTTCTTCCTTTTTTAATTAAAGTCTTAGAATTTAGGATGAAAAAATCTGAACGTACGAGTAATGGACGGCACGAGTAATCTTCGGGACATTTCACTTTTGCGTCATGCATTTATTTGCAAACTTTTCTTCCGCTTTGAACAATCTCTGATCGTTATTAACGGACGATACATTAATGTCATGGGCTTTATCGATCGATTTGTTTATCTCGTTATTTACGATTTGATTTTCCTCATCATCGATCTCTTCAATTTCCTCATGAATTTCATGACAAAAACTTTTTCTGGATTTTTCTCTTATGTAAAGTGCGAGACTTCGTCGTCTATTTTCTCGACATAGATGACAATTTTTTGATGTCTTTTTTCCTTCTTGGTGATGATATTCTTGGGGTATTATTTGTTGTTGTTGTTGTTGTTGTTGTTGATGTTGATGATGTTGTTGTGTATTTTGAAGACGCTGGCATCTAGTCGATCGGTCTAAAATTAAAAGAAACACAAACAAAACATTCATTGTAGAATTCAATATACAATTAATGCATTGTATATTTCCTCGTGATATCATGTTTTAATAACATTGATTTTTGTGGTGTTTCTATACTAATGGTAAGGAGAATTAACAGAGAAAACCGGTTTTTCGATATCTCTTTGTAAAATAGCACTAGCTCGGTATACACGACATATATACGACGACGACGACGACGGAATCGTATAAAATTTCTGCGTAGAAAATTGTGTTCAAATTAAGTTCAAATTGTATTACATTTTATCAGACAGCTTTCACTTTTGCGTTGCAACTTTATCTATAAGAGGTAGAACATTAAAGATTGTTTGTTTGTTTTTTTTTTCTTTTTTTTTTTCGAAAAACGAACAAGAGTTCTAATGAATTCTAATGGCATTCTAATGAAATTTTAATGAAATTCTAATGAATCTATTGCGTAATCGTAACTTTAAATCTACGAAAGCAATAACGTAGAAACTAAACACATATGCAACTATGGTATATATGCATAATACAAAATTGTCTATCTTGCATAATTGTTTTTTTTTTTTTTTTTTTAATTAACTTGATGGTAAAAAAGATTTTTACTTTTTACTAGATTAATAAATGTATAATATTTGCGTTTGTAACGAGGGCAACCAATTGTGTTTTTCCACTGAAAGAAAAAGAGAGAGAGAAAGAGAGAAATCTATTTTTAGAACGCATAACAATCTCTACTTTGCATATAATTGAGTCCTCTCGTCTCAAATGGTCCACGCATACCTTTCAACTTACGTTTTTTTTAACTTGATTTTGTTATTTCGTCATAGTGCATTTTATTTCATATAAAAAGTTAATCTTGATATTTATTTATTGTTTTTGTTGAAAACAATATAATGAAAAAAGATATAAAAGACGAAATTGCAAATGGTACTTGAGCGCAACGCACCTTTAGTAAACAGGCCATCCAAAAATAGAATATTACGTGTATTATTATATGAAAAAGCACGATAGTAGTATGCACAACGTGCGTACGGACACGTAGCCCTTGTGTTCGATAAACACCTTAAGAGAAAATAGATATGAAGAATAACGCACAATTTTGATTGAGGATGAAATAAACAATGAGTACAAGAAGAACATTTCAAAGACGCAAAAATGATGGATGAAACATTGGTCTAATATTAGATCGTAATAGTTACTAATTTTCATCGATTGTGCAATATTTTGATCATCTTCAAAAAGTAATCACGCGTAAATAACTTTATTTTGGGATATTTTTCAAATTATCGCGTATATCATCGCGTATATATATATATACATTGAATATGTAGTATTGCAATTAAATGTCGTGCATTAAATTATAATAGTTAAACTGTAATAGCGATTGGATTACATAATTGAATATTCTCGAGGCGTTGCTACGGTGAATCAATAGAAAATCAACTTTATTATTTCAATCTAATTTTAATCAGAAAACATCAATCAAAATGATGATGGACATTTAGTCGATAACAAAATGTACGAAATTAATCATGTTCTCTTATCTCCTTTAATATTTATTATATGAAGTCTTGAAAAAGTCATGAAAAAATACAAGTTCTTAAGTATTCGTCGTCATTTTTTTTATAACTGTTTAATCTCAATAAAAATCGAATGAAATTTTCTTTTCTTTTTTTTTTTTTTTTGTAATTAACGTTGAAAGAATGCGACTATCTTGAATCTTTTGTTATTTCTTATTTTATCTTATCTATCATCGACTTCATATTATCCGTTATTTAATTGTACCATTTTTTTTTCTATTATTTATTTTTATTTTTTGTTTTGTTTTAACTTTTTGAACAATTTTATTTAATTGCACTTTAAGCTTTCATATCTATATATCAGTTGATAATAATAAAATAGAGTGTTTTTTTTTAACGTTTTAAAGTCACCTAATTGATTCTTTATCAATAAGTGATTAATTTTAACGTATTATTAAGATTACGTGTTTATCTCTTTCGATAATATGAAGAAAATAATTAAATAAATTATATCGAAACATCAATATATAATAATAATCGGAAAAGATTAATCTATCGAAACGAGAAATGAAATAATATATAATTGTATAGTATTTTATAACATTTTAATGCAACAATTATTTTTAATAAGATAACAAAATTGAAGTAATAAACAATAGATATATCTAATAATTTCCTATCATTTGTTATCAGTGAAAATAACTTTCATATTTGATTCTCAAAGTGAAATCTTGAAGTTAAAATAAGTTTAATGTAATACGATTATCTATGTATATTTATTTTTCAAGTTCAATATATGTGTATATGTAAGATATCTTATGATGATAGTAGCAAGCAGCAACAGTGTACTTTTAACGGATCGGAAATAGATATGCCAATGTACCGAAATAAGCACCAATTTTATTTACGTTCTATGACTAATCTAAACTTTATACATTACAAATATTACATCTTTGATAATGCAAGCAACGAACCGACAAAGCCGGGAAATATAAAAAAAATTGTTTCTTATAAGAAAAATATTATACATACCATGTCCAAAATAATTCTTGTTCCAAGGTTGCTCGAAATCATGATATAATGGGCTCCTGAATGATCCATAAGTTAATACCTCAGGAATATAGACGAGATCCATAGTAATTTATTTCTCTGTCGAATATTTATAGCTTTCTTGTTATTCTATGTGTTTATATATGATATATTCTCAAATGAGTTTCGCAAGCATTTGAGTTACTACTTCTTTCTACTCTAGTATCACAATTAGCTCGTAACAATTAGCATAGTTAACTCAATGGCATGTTTCTTGCAGATATTCAAACTCAAGGATATATTATTTCTCTGTGCTCTAAAAATTCTTGTCCTTCTCCTCCTTCTGTTTTTTCCTCTTGTTCTTTTAAAAATTTGTCTACTATTTTACGTGTTTTTCTTATTACATTAGCCGAGGAGACAAGCTTAGATCTTTTTTAGATCTTTCTTAGATCTTTCAGTAATTATTGTTTTCTTTGAGAGATCGTATTTGTTAATATTTTTCTTGAATAACGATAACAATAGTAATATTGCTAAGTTACGATTACTGAACAACGTACGAATGTAAAGTCTTCTCGAACGTCTTGTTTTAAACTGACGAGCCTTGTTGACGGCACGTATGTTTAGCCTATCGATCTCTCTTTCTCTCTCTTTACCTTTTTTCGTTCTATATACTCTTCCCTACCACTGCATTTTCCTACAACTTCCCTCTCACTCTCCTTTAGTATCGTGCCTCCTTGTCCTTGATAATTTCCCCTTCCATTCATACGGGTACTAGGCGTACACTTGAAACGTCTTTTCTCTTTCTCTCAATGACTAACGCCTTGTGATAAGCTCTTTCATTTTATTTATTTATTTATTTTTTTTCTTCTTATCTCTTCTCTTTTTATTGATATTATTATTTTTGTTTCTTTATTCCAATTTATTATTCGCGATATTAACAATGCTAATTTTTATATTCTAATTAATCCTGTAAATATTTCAAAGACAGTTAGATTAAAAAGAAAGCTTTTTATATATCGGTTTTTATAAAATTATTGGAAAATTGTTAAACCTTGAGGCAGGAAGAACAGGACCTCCCAATGTTTATAATATCTTTATGTTTATACATATATAATATAAATGATTGCATAACATAACTGCAACAATAATAAACTTTACATCAGGATTAGAATTTCAACTAATTGCCCTTGAATCTTTTTTTTTCTCTTCTCCTATAATGAAGAAAATAGAACGAAGCTATTATTTACACTCGGTCTTTTCTTTGCTACAACTCACAATATAAATAATAACAATTATTTGAAAAAAAAAAAAAGAAAAATATAGTTTATCTTGTTATCAACGTTAACGTTAACGTTATCTTTGAAGATAATGGACTTGGGACCAGCTACGTATTATTTAAATATTTAGATAATAATTAACTTTAGAACATTTCCTAAATTTAATATGTACTGAAATTAGTTTGAATTTTGTAGGAAAGCCTGGGTGGAAATTCTCGAACAGCAATGTTAGGAACAGTTTCACCAGCTAACATTCATCTCGAAGAAACTTTAGCAACCCTTCGATATGCATCCCAGGCTCGAGCCATTGTTAATCGTATTCGAATTAATGAAGATCCACACGACAGATTAATTCGGTAATTTTCTTTCTTTTTTTTTTTTTTTTGTCAATTATATAAATTATATTAATTAGAATGAAATGGAATGTGTTATACCTTCAAATTTTATAGCGAATTAAAAGCAGAAGTTTTACGATTACGAGGAGTTCGTGAAGGATATGAAAGACAACTTAGAATTAGTCCACATAATCATTCAACTGGCATTGAAACAAACGTCAAAGATCGCCAAGAAATCCTACGAAAGCAAGAAGAAATAAATAGATTAAAGGAACAATTGAAAAAAACAGAGGAACAACTGGTTGCTACTCAAAAGTAAGTTTTAAAAAAAAAAACATTTCATATCATAATTACTTACTTATTTTCTGTTCTTTTTTTTTTATATATACATATATATATATAAAGTGTATGATAATTATGTCGAATTTGGCGTATTAAATATAATTTATGAACGAACATTATCTCCATTTTAAAGGTTTTAAGTAGGAATGCGGAAATGTTTTTGTTCTGTAGAAATGTTATTGTTAGTAGTAATAATATAACCTGACGTAAACTTTAATGGTCAGCGAATTTCGATTGCAGAAGCAACTTGAAGAAATTGCAGGAAACTGAAGAAAGAAAAAATTCAGAGCTGAAATATTTAAGGCGTTGTGGAATCGCAGTTGAAATAGATTTACGTGAGAGAGATAAACAACCATACTTGATAAATCTTGCTGCTGATCCTATGTTGTCTGGTACACTGTTGTATCTAATTCCACCTGGGTTGGTACGCATTGGAAAACGTTCTGAGAATTCAGATAAATTTCAGCAATTACCACAATTGGATATTGTTTTGGATGGGCCACTTGTTAGAAAATTGCACTGGTTAGTTTTCGTCTTGTAGGGTGATGGTTTTTCTTCAACAATTGAGAATGTTTTTCTCTTAATCTTGTTTTTGACGTCAATCAATCTACAATTTTCCGAAATATTATTTTTATAAATATTATTATATACTCTTCCTTATACTAATTTTCGTATTTTTCCTGGTTCTCCTTCATTGAAACTTCGTTTCTCGTCCAAACCTTCATGTAATCATGTCCTTTCATCATTGGATTCCAGGCGTGGTTGTCTTGTTACCATAATATCCTATTTAATGCATGATTATATGTATTGATTACTTGTTTTTATTGCTGACTTGTTTTTACAATTATCCATCTTACATGATCAATTGGAATAACAAAATACTAATGAAAAATATTTATTTACTACTGATAAGACGAACCCTTATGAAATATTTTCTTTTTTTTTCTTCTTCTTTTTTTCATTACATAAATTACGTTGCATCATTGGTTTTTCTTCATTATTGCGCATTTTCATTTGTAAAAAGATTATTCAATTTTTATAATTCATGTTTTTTCTTTTTTCTTCTTAACAGTACTATAGAAAATAAAAACGGCAAGCTTATGCTAGTGCCTGAGATGAATAGTGATACTTATGTGAATGGTCAGGTAATATATTAAAAGTATAATAATAATAATATTATAATTATAATTGTATATAATATCTTGAATCGTGCACAGGTGATAAGTGGCAAAATACATTTAAGACATGGAGATAGACTTGTCATTGGTGGCAATCATTATTTCAAAGTTTGTAATCCTCATGACGAGATTGGAAACATACAAATTTCTTCGCAAGCTATAGACTTTGACTTTGCTCATCAAGAAATACTTAAAATACAAGAAGAAAGGTAAATTCTTTTTTAACTTTTTCTTCTTTTTCCAATATTCAATTTATTTAATATAATAATATTATTATTATTATTAAAATTGTTTAGATTAAGAGCAGAACTTGAGGAATCAAAACAGAAAGCTATTAAGGAATTAGAAAATGCAAAGCGAGAAGTTGAGTTACAACTTGGCTCTCAAAAATCTACTTATGAACATAAAATCGAGGTACTTGGTAGTACATTGGAAGAACAAAAATTAGCATTGGAAGAAATAAATCGTCGTAAACAGGAATTGGAATTAGAAAAAGAGATGCTAGCCAATGAAATAGAAATAAATAATAAAATTCGAGAGATTCAACAAGTGGAAAGTCAATCAAACGTGTCACCATACAAGTCAAATTTTCTTCAAGATTTAGAATGTATATTGAATGAAACGACTGCTGATTTTGAAAGTGCCCTTAAAATGAAATGTAGCGCTGATACTATCAAAGCTGGTGGTATTAGCTTGCACGAGATGCAAATACTCGTTAGAGAAGCAACCGAACGATGCAGAGAAGTTGGCATTAATTATGTGCGTATTCAATGTTATAATCATTAGGATTATCCAACTTGTTTACCTTATTTCATAGTCATTAGATTATATGAAACGATAATTTATTACTTATCTATTAATCGTGAATATCTTACAAACCCTGAATTAATGGAATATACTCTTACAATAATAACAACTAAATTCAATAGCCTTGAATTGTAAATTATACTGATTATAACAACGTATATAACAACTTTCAGACCGACAATACAAACTTAATTTATTTGTGTTCTTTCTATTTTAGGAATTCAATCAACAACAGACTCTTATAGATAAGAATCTAAGACCCGTGATTCGTGTTCGAGATAAGGATTGTAAAAAGGAAACCTTGTGGGAACCAATGAGATTTTTAGATTGGGTTCATCAATTGCGTGATTATGATATAGAAAATTCATTAAAAGAGTTAACAAATTGTGAAAACGATTGGGTACCTTATGATGATACGGAAACGTTTGAGGATTCTTTAAATAGTAGTAGAATATCTATCAATTTAACACCTGTTAAGAAACATTTAAATGAAAATTTTCAACAATTATCTATGGATACGTCAATCCATGATTCTACGACACAAGAAGAGGCATCTGAATATCAACAACGCAAAAACGTGTCTACTTATCTACTGCAGATAGAACGAGCTACGCAAGCTTTGAGTATACTATGTCAACGTTGCGAAAGTCCTGAGATCAACAATACAATAAGCGAATCTTTAGATAGAGTTCAAAATATTATCGTTGACATAAGGAGTATGTTGCTGGTTAAAAATTTAAAGGATAGTAAAAATGAAAGTGAAACTTCTAATGGATCTGTTAGTAATAATACTACTGTAATCGAGAAAACCGATTGTAAAAATTCAACATTATTAGGGGATATCGATCATTTCAAAGAAGATGTCAAATTAAACACTTCACCGATTAAATCGAATTTACGTAACAATACCACGACGCACAACAAAAATGGAAATATTCTTAAATCTGTTCGATTTACGGATAAAATTCAACATGATTTGACTTAATGTTACAAAATAGGAGGAAATTAAAACAAAAATATGAAATCTGTGATATTATATTCACTAACAGACTAAATGATTTTTATATTAAAATATTGAAAGCTTAGAAATAAAGTAATACCACTGCGTTGTTAGACGCACAACGAAAAGCTTTCGTAAAAATAAATTTGATGATTGTAATTATGATCTTACAATCTCATTCATTCTTGCCATCTTTATTTCTTAATTTTATTTTCTCAAAAAGACTAAGATATTATTATTATTATTACTATTGTATTGTATTGTATTGTATTATGTTATATTTAGCTGTACTTTCATTTTAATCGCATTGATAGCTAAAGATATATTAATTTATGTGTAATGCTGACTATTATAGAAGTAAAATACTGCCAAAATGTAAATAATTAGAAATATATCATAATAGATCAATGCACATATGTAATTAGATTAAATAATTATTTACACAAGCATGATTGATAGCAATACATTGTTCGAATGTAACAGTTTATAATTCGTATGTCATTTTTTTGAAACTGTATTTTTTCTTAATGTAATCTTTTCATAATAACAATGATTATATTTTTCTTTCTGCATAAAAAAAGAAATACTTGAGAAAGGTGATTATATAAGAAGATAATTTTTTATATCTTATCTTACTACGTTGAAAAAAAATACTACGATAAAATTTGGAGATTCAAACAGTATCATTTTAAATAATCTGTTTTTGCAAATAATCTGTTTAGAGAGAGAGAGAGAGAGTTATGTATACTCTTCTAATGAACTCAGTATAATAATAAAAAATAAACTAAACCATAGTGTTATACAGCTGTATAACAAGTTTATTTAGTTAATCAAAGTAATCTTCAATATCAATATTAGGATCAAGTATATCATCGCCAAATGGAGTCAAATCTATTTGATTAAGAACAAGGTTCTCACACATTTCTTCCAAATTAGTATCTCCTATAAGTACTGCTCCTTGTAATTTTCCATTTTCTAATATAAGTTTTATATATTCTTCTTTTTTGGTCATTCGAAGCAATATTTCATAATTTTGATTTAACTTTTGACCATTATACAAACCTATTAAGACTACTTTATAATCAAAGAATTTAGTGACATGGGTAAACAGTTCAAAACAAAAATCTTGCATGTAATCTTCTCCTTTATGACTCGATGTCATAGATTTTGCAGCATAAAAGCCCATTTGATGCGCTTGTGTCCAAAGTCTCATTTGAAACCAATGTTTTGCAATATCCCATCTTGCAGTACACACATCTCCCGCTGCATAAATATCCTTTTCTGAAGTTTCTAATTTCCAATCGACACATAAACCTTTATCTTCTCCTTTCTCAAGGTTTTCTAAACCTGTTAAATTTGAGTTTGGTACAACACCTGTTGCAGATACTATGAAATCACAACCGATAACTTTACCGTTTGTTAATTTTACATAGACAGGCCATTTATCTGTATCTTTACATTCGGTTTCTTCTTTTTCTTCCTCTTCTTCCAGAAGAATTTTCTTTACTTCGCATTCATATTCAATTTGGATTTTTCTGTTGGTCGATGAGGAGATGCCTTTTATAAAAAGATGATTATGCCAATCTGGACCAAGAGCAGGTCCTCCTTCCTTAGATGATTCACTAGTGATAGTATATCTCATTCTTCGTACAGGCTTAGTTTCATCAATATTTTCTGATTTATCTCTATCGTAAATATCGTCTAAAAAGAATTCAGCTGCACCTGGATCAATAAATGTCGCAGATATGTGTTTATCCTTAATCACCCAAACTACATCAACATTTTTGACTTCGTGTATAAGTTCAGTTGCGATGCCTCCATTTCCCACAACTACAATTTTTCTAGCATTTTGAATCTTTTGAGAAAATTGAATTACAGATTCAGTATCTCTAATACCTATAACATATTTATTATTTTCCGTTATAAGTTTTGCTCTACCGCCGGTACAAAGACATAATTTTGTATATTTTATTAATCTTCCACTTTCAGTTGTAATATATTTCTCATTAATGTCTATATTAGTTACAGTTTCGTGTATAACTCTTAAAGAAGGATACTTTTCAGTAAGCGTTTCTGCATGCTTTTCTTCAATGTCAAATTGCATCACTGTTTTACCCAATGGAATAATATTTGTTACTGTTTTAATTAATGGACTTGCAGTAATTAATACAGTACTTTCTTCAGGCATAAAAATGCTTATACCTTCCGCGCAAGAAACACCTGCTATACCACCACCTATTATGGCGAATGTACAAACTATGACTTGATCAGACATTTTTATATTTAATGTTGTTGTGTTTTTTCGTTATACCATTCAGAATAGTCGTATTCTCTAAGAGGGACGTCGAGCAATAAAGTACCGTATTCTTTTGCTCTAAGTACAGCTACAAGAAGTTGTTTATATCTTCTTTGACAAATGCCAGTTTTTCGATAACTTAATATTTCGCCTGTATGTTTAGAAATGAATTGTTCTAACAATTTAACATTCCTATGATCCAAGATCAAATATTCATCTCTGCATATTGGACAAGGATTACCAGTACTTATGATACCACCTCTCTAGAAATTAATTAATTAATAGTGAATTAGTTGCAATATAATTACAATAAATATAATATAAATACTTACTACACAGGTTTTTCTTGTTTTTCTTGAAGGAAATTGTCCTTTATGATTTCTTCGATATTTTGTCCATACAGGATCATCCCCGTAAGTTTGTTTATAAGCTAAAATGTTAGAACGTAGACAAAATATTCATTCTAAATCTCAATCTTAATGTAATATTTCTATTATAATATTGATTTAATCAAATTGAGCTTACCACTGCTTAACATATACTCTATACTAGTTTCAACGGGAATAACTTGTCTTCGGTCTTTAGCAGGATCTACTATTATCTCATCGGTATTCTCTATTTCATTACTATTTTCAATTGTATTACTTTCCTCTTGATAGCAAGTGTGTGAAGAAGAAATCAATCTTACAGGTATATCCTAAAAATCAATTGTACTTTGAAAACTAAAAGAAAATCAATTATCAATGGCGAAGATCAATCCCTTACTCTTTTGATTAATGTAGATTGCAATGTTGTTCTGGTTAAACCTAATACTTTTATGAGCAGTGACATAATGTGTTATATTTTAACAATGATTTATTTATTAAATACTTAACACGTTAAACGAAATTATTGGTTAGGAAAATATGCAGTTTATACTGCACTCTCTATAGGCCAACTTTGATACTAACCATAGTTATACTGTTTAACGTGTGATAAAGGTTATATGTTCAATTACAAAAAAGCAAATATTTGAAAATGTAAAGTTAGTTATTAATATGTTGGAAAATAATTAAATTCTTTTATAATACATTTTAATTCTAGATAAATCAATGTAAAACACTCGGTTATCGAGTTGTTATCATTGCAAATGTTAAATTAAAGATAAGAAATATGGTAGACACAAAAGTAATTAGTAACGAGGAACAAAATAGTCAGGAGACTAGAGCTCGTGCAAATAGTTCTGAAACGACAACTTCAACACCTTCTTCGTTATCCGATTATATGACAGGAGAAGCAGATGACAGTTCTGACAGTAAAGGCAGCATACCCTTTAATCTGAAATCTGTAGAACCTTTAGTTTCGTTGTCTCAGGTTTACTATACATTTATCCTTTTCTTTCAATGTTTACATTATCTTTGTCTTTATATACACACATATATTTATTATATGATCATCTTTACAAATGATAGGATACATCCGCTGAAGATCTACAAAGAATGATTGAAAAATGTAAACAAATGGTATTAGAAAGCGCAGAGTGTTCGGATGAAAGGAAATGGCTTGTAAGACGTTTAATTGAATTACGTTTAAGAGTTCAAGAATTACGAGAAACATCAGATCAAAAACTTCTTGAAACTCATGTAATACTTGGTCATCATTTGGTTCCTCAAAAGTATCATATTACTTCTTCTGGACCTGTATATTGCGATCACTGTAGTGGCACCATTTGGATGATGCTGCAGTCTTGGTACATGTGCAGTGGTAAATTCAACTAATTAGTAAACTGCAAACTACAATTAGTAAATGATTCAAATTTAGTTGATATTAATATTGTATGTAATAGATTGTAGGTTCAGTGTTCATTGGAAATGTTTAAGCAATATATGTCGTGTTTGTGTACATGTTATTGCAAGTGAAGCCGGTGGTTATACTTATACTAAAGACATTTGTCCCGAAAGAGGATTATCTAATCAAGGCTACCGTTGCGCAGAATGCAAGATACGAATAACTTTTAGTAAGTGATTTTCCATATTAAATTATCCACGTAAATGATAAATCATAAATTTGCCATACTATATGATATCTATTTTAATTGTATTCATTTATTAAAATACGGCTAATCATATAGAAATGCATATTATTTAATTACATTAATATGTTATATCTTACAAGCATTCCCAAAAGGATTGTCATTATCTTGTTTTGGCAGCCCTTTTAAAAGTTCAGGTAACCACATAGCTAGTATTCATAATGAAGGAGTAGTCCATTTAGTACTTCATTTCATTTCATTACTACTTTCTTCTTCTTCTTCTTCTTTTTCTTCTTCTCTGTAATGTGTAATAATTGTAAACTCGTAGAATCACCATGGATAGAGCCACGACTGTGCGATTACACCGGCTTGTATTATTGCCAGAGATGTCATTGGAATACAACTATGGTAATACCTGCGAGAGTTATTAGAAATTGGGATATGGAACCAAGGCTTGTCTGTCGTGCTTCAGCTCAATTATTGGCGCTTCTTGAAGATCGTCCCTTTTTACTATTGGAAGAATTAAATCCAAAATTGTTTACACTGGTTCCAGATTTGTCTTTGGTAAAAGTAAGATATTAGAAATTTGATGACACAATAAATAATAAGCTTGATTAAATATATAACAATAAATACCCCTAATCAAATAATATTTATATATATATATAGAAAATGAGAGAAGAAATGCAAATGATGAAGCGTTATTTAGTAATATGTCCAGAAGCCAATACGCAAGGATTGCCATGGAAAATTGGTTTACGTACACATGTGATTGAAAATCCGGGAAATTATTCTATAAAAGATCTCATTAATTTACAAAATGGTGCTTTACTAGAAGAAATTCGTACTTCTTATGATATCATGCATACTCATATTACTGAACAATGTGAATTGTGCAAAGCTAGGTAAACTTTCAATTATTTATCTTTTTTTATATATACAGGATGTTTTCTGTAATCGAGGAAAATTAGGGCAATTTAGTATACGTACAATTGCAAATGCAATGCAAAAACAATTTTATTTTACATTGTTTGGCTTGTTTATACCATTGATTACAGGATATCCTGTATATAAAGTATATGCAATTCCATATATATGTATGGATATTATAAATCATAAAGTACATGATATCATTTGTAATATTTTCAGAGGTCATTTATGCGAAATGTGTGGAAACAATGAAGTTATATATCCCTGGGATACTTGTGCAATAAGTTGTCAACAATGTTTAGCCGTATACCATCGTGCTTGTTGGTCTAAACGAAATCATTCTTGTCCACGATGTATAAGACTTGAAAAACGTCGAGCTTTAGAAGAAGGAGAATGTTCAGATACCAAAAGTCTATCTAAGAATGAATCACCTGAACATAATAAAGTTACAAATTCGATTGAGTAATCATTTTCTTCATACATTTTTGTACAATTGAGTTGGAGAAAAAGAAGTAAAAGAAGAAAATAATGATGTGCGTAGTTACCATTCATTATAAGATGTTACAATTTGTGATGTATAATTTTAAATAACTGTTTTTCGTAAATGTAAACTTGCAATAAATTATAATCTTGTTAATATATATATTTTTGTATTTTAGTCTATTTGTATATGTATATTTATATATACGTATAAGTTAAAATTGATGATTAAGTGTTTAAATCAATATTGATTGACAAATGAATTGTGATTAATATGGTTTATAAGATAAAAAGAGAAAAGTTTCGCGTTTAAAATTATTTTTAAATGGAAATATATATATATATATATTATCGATAAGTAACAAGATGAATATTCTTTATATTTCTTTATATTATTTAGAAATTTCCAATTAAAATTTCATTTCATTTTATCTTCGTGTAATTTTGAAATTTATTTATCGAAGATAACGCAAAGCTATTACTAATAATCTTTATTTTGAGAGTTATTTTTAATAGAAATATCATTAATAAGTGATAAGTTGAATATTCTTTGTATTATTCATAAATATTCAGTTAACGAATGTCTCTCTTACATGTTTTATCTTCATGCAATTTTCCAATTTATTGATTGAAGCTAGCATAATTATTACTATCAATAATCTTTATGTAAGTAATAGTACATATTCTTAGAAATACTGTGCAATAAACGGTAAGAACTTGACTTTGTTAGAGACGCTGATAGATTGTAATTTTATTCCACGAACGCGTCATGTCTTATTTCTTAGTCTTGACATGTAAACATTTCCTGTTTATTTTTCTTTTTTACCCGTATACTTTAAGTTATGTCATTCCAATACAAAAGGTATAAAACTACTGATTGTGAGGAAAATTTGAATAAAAATAATAGAATTCATTACATGTTTTTAAATAATTAATTGTCACGGAAATAGAATATTTCTAATTTCTATGTTAATTTCATCTAGTTACTGTATCTATTTATCAGGTTTTTATCCCAACTGTTATTACTATTTAACAAATATATTTCCTGTATTTAAAAAGAAAAACAGAAAAAAACAAGACTACAAAAAATTGATGATAGATGATCAATCTTAACCATTGTTGTTTATATCGTTAAAAGAGGTAATAGTGTTTTTTTCGTTTATTTAGATATTTGCACAATTGTTAAAAGACTAATATTAATGGAATTAATTCCGTATGGCTGAGTCAGTTGGTAGAATAAAAGTTGCAGAATTGTTTCTGAACGAACAGTTCACATCCAACAGAGTCAAGCGATCTGTGACTTGACTTCTTATTTCACTGGTAAGTCGTCTAATATTTAAATAGTTGATTTATTTTTGTTGTTAAGCTTGGTTTTTTTATAACAATAAAAATATTAATATTGGAAAATCTAAATATTTATAAAATATATCTAAGTAAGAGAAACAGAATATAATTTAGTTGATATTTCAAAAAGAAATAATTTATCAAATGAATAACTTATATGAAATGATTTTCAGAAAGATAGATAATATTTTACCAATCAACAAAATGCTCTACTCACGTTTTTTTCTATTAACGTTTTTAATAATCTTAACGATCGACCAAAGTAGAGGGGTAGAATTTGGATCGATTTTTGGTCTCGGCAAGAATGTTGATAAGATTGAAAATCATGAAGAAAATAAACTCGAACACGAGCCTAAACAAAAGGTCGAGCAGAATAAATTAATCAATTTTATACCGATTTTTGATTTTGGTAAAAATGTTGATAAAAATGATGGTAAAAATGATGATATAAATATTGATAATATAAATATTGATGATATTAACAATCAAGGAGAAAATAAACTTGAATACGAAGAACCTGAAGAAAACTTCGAAGTTAATCAAGTTTCTACAAAGCTTTCCACAGTTGAAGAATTTCTTAGCACACTTTTAATACCGGTCGAAGCTTTGGGAAATGCAAATAAAATATTTGGAAAAGGTGTACAGCAAATTATATCGAAAATACCGGATAAACTTAAGGATCCAATTAAAGGATTTGAAATTAATAATAAGACCAACTTAGGATACGGTCAATTTTTGAATTCAATTTCTGATAGATTCAGAGCTATTTATCCAGGTATTTAATTATAATTAATAATCAATAATATAGAAATTTAATTTGATTAAAAATTGATTGCAGGTACCGTTTGGTGTGGTGATGGCGATATAGCAAAAAACGATGAAGACCTTGGTTTCTTTGCAAGTACAGATGCTTGTTGTAGAGATCATGATAAATGTTCCAGTAATATTAATGCAGGCGAAACGAAATACGGTCTTAAAAATGTTGGACTTTTTACGAGGTTGTATAAATCATTTTATATATATATATATATATATACAAATATATTTTTTTTTAGTTAGTTGCTTATTTTTCTTTTTTACAGGTCACATCGTTCATGCGATTCTGCATTTTACAATTGTTTAAAAGGCGCTAAATCAATCATAGCCACCAAAATTGGAATAACTTATTTCAACATTTTGAGTCCGCAAAGTTTCGACGAGGATTATCCTATTGTAAAATGCAACAAGTATTCTGGGTATATATAACATTTCATTTTTCTTATTAATATCTTTTTCTAATTGTATTTATAATAATAGAAAATGTTCTTCATCTTTTTTTTTCATTTCAGCCTTATCAACAAGAAATGTATCGATTATAAACAAGATTTACATGCAGATAAGAAATATCAATGGTTTGACAATCCATTTTTTTAAATTCAAATTATTTGGCAATATTTGAAAGTTGTTTTAAATTTGTAAATAAGTATTCTATTGTGTATGTTAATGTACTTATTAGTAATAATTGATACTTGTTTAAAAATGTTTAAGCAATTTTAACCCAATGCTTCGATGTAACCTTTTGGTGGTATACCTCTTTTAATGATATGTGGCTTTGTTTTTGGAACCATTCTGCAAATAATGATTAATTATTCATTCAGTTATAATTCAAATAATAAATATAAAAACTTACTTGATACAATCAATAATCGGGCATACTGATAAACAAAGAGTACAACCAGTACAATCATCAGTAACTTTTGGTATATGAGTTTCCGAATCAAATGTAATTGCCTGATAACCAGAATCAGCACAAGCCATGTAACATTTTCCACAATTTATGCACATATCCTTAAAAAAAAGAAATAAAATAAAGAGAACAAGGTGTTCACATTAAAACAACATAAGTATGCAAAAATAATGAATATTAATAATTAACATACGTCATCTATTAATGCAATAACTTGCTGTTGATTGTTTAATTCTTTGTAAGCTCCAATATGAGATAATGATTTTCCAATAACATCATTTATAGTTGGTACTGTCCCAATTGGTTCTGGTGCTGGTCTTGTTGATGAAAATTTAACATCTAATGGATTCATTTTTTCTTTTATCTCTGCAATCTTTTTTTCTCGTAATTTTTGATATTCTCCAAAGTATGGTATATTCTGTCAACACGTGTTAATATAAATAATTCTGATGACACAATGATACAAACATATTGATACTTACTTTACCAAGAGCATGTTGCAAAGAAACTGGTTTGCCTTTTTGATGTTTAAAAGTAGGTGGACTCTGACCATCCCAATCTTTTGTTTGTTCAAGACTTTTCAAATACAATAATGTTTTTAAACCAGTCACATAATCGTCGATAAGTGTAAAATCTTGATTCTGAATAGCACTGCAAATCTGCAATAAATAATATCAATATACAGTCAGTTATATATTATATTATATATAGACAAAATGAACTTGAAAAATTACTTGAAGGATCGATGCTCCGCAATGTAAAAATTGCAAAGCAATTTCTGCGGAATCGATTCCACCAATACCAAGTATGGCAAATCCAGGAAGTTGTTTAGCAATAGATGAAACAGCTCTTAAAGCTTGTGGTCTTGTTGCATTTCCAGACATTCCACCGTATGTAGTCAATTTATGATATCCTACAGCAGGCCATGGTATCCCATTAGAATTTAATCCCATTAAACCTTGCACTGTATTAATAGCAGATACTCCATTTGCATTTCCTTCGTAAGCTGCTTTAGCAATTGAAACAATATCGGTTATGTTTGGGGTCAATTTAACAAAAAATGGGATTTTCACTGCTGCTCTGACCCATCTTGAAATATTTCTTACTAACTCTGGATCCTACAAATATTACTGGCATTTTATTTAATTAGTCAAATAAAGAAATAAATTGTTCATACAAACCTGTCCACATGCCAAGCCCATTCCAGATTCTCCCATGCCATGTGGGCAAGATAAATTTAATTCCAAAGCGTCAGCACCAGCTGCTTCTACTTTCCTTGAAAGCTCTGTCCAATCTGCACTGTTATAAGTGCACATAATACTAGCGATCACGATCTAAATACATATATGCACAGAGAAATATATATATATATATATACTTCATACAGTTAACAAAAATATAAAATTTTATGAAATCTGTAGAAACCTTTTCAGGGAAATCTCTTTTTAGTTCGGTAATACTACGACACCAATATGCTTCAGTTTTCTCAGATATTAATTCAATATTTAAAAAGCTACTTTGTTCAGGTCCAAAATGATGTCTTGATGTTGTTCCTTTAATGATACGTGGTGATACGTTGGTAACCAAATCCTTAAAGTTATATATCACATATAAGAAAATGTAAATTATGATTTTTTACATGGTTTTCAATGATGTACCTTATCTAAAGAAAATGTTTTAGTAACAGCAAAGCCCCAGCCAGCTTCAAATGCACGACGAATCATTGCACTAGTTGTACATGGTGGTGCAGATGCAAGGCCAAATGGATTCTCAAATTTTAAACCGCACATTTCTACGCTTATATCAACTTCATCAATCGGTGTATGGAATTTTGGTAATTGCGGTGTGTCTGGAACCATTAAACCAAAGGATTCCTATAAAATAATTCAATAATAAAATAAAACAATAAAGTAACAAGAGAGTAAGATAAATATGTACCTGTAAATATTTATGAATATACCAAGCAGCCGTTTTTCCATCATTAACAGATTCCACAGTAGTTTGTGCAACTCCAGCCAAGTCACCACCACAAAATACTCCAGGAACGGATGTGCTCATGGTTTTGGTATCCACTATTGGTAAGCCCCATGTATTTAATTTAACTGGTACCATAGCTTGTTTTACTGTTGAATTATTATCGAGATTTAGTATTTATTTACATTTACTTAAATATATTATTGATTATTTATACTTATATGTTATTTTATTAGTTACCATCTAAATCATGTAATCCCGATCCAAAAGCCGATATAACAAAATCAGCTTTTAATCGGAATATCTGTTCATTGTCCTCAACCCAGTCGCCATCATCATTTTGTTCAGTTCGACAAAATTCAACAGCAACAATTCTTCCATTACGAACGATCACTCGTTTTGGTGATTGGAAAGGTATAAATTCACATTTTTCTTCTCGAGCCAGATCAACCTGAATTATTATAGGATCACAAATGAGTTTGAAGTTTTGTACTTGAGTCAGAAGTTAATGAAATATTTGAAATACACAGTCATAATTACATACCTCTTCAGGAACAGCACGAATATTAGTAAAACCTTTTCTAAAAATAACGTAGACCTTTTTAGCACCACATCTTAAAGCAGAGGTTGCACAATCAAATGCTGTGTCACCAGCACCCAAAACTATTACATTCCCTCGTAGTCGTGGTAATTCTTCGTTACTCTTACAAGAACACATTCCAGGTTTACTACCTTTAGCTACAAGAGGAAGGAAACTTTTGGACGTGTAATATCCTTCGTTTGATGTTAAACCGGAAAATATTGTTAACGTTTTTGGCTCGGGAAGGCCAATGCCCAGAAAAATAGCTTTGTAATTTGCTTTTAAAAGTCCCTGGAAGAAAAAAAACAAAAACAAAAGAAAGATTATTTTTCTTTGATTTCTAAATACATAAAATAAAGAAAAATTTCATTGAAATGATAAAATAAATTTACCCGAATCGTTAAATCTTTTTCTGTTAACGATCTACCCATCTCGATTTTGACCCCGAGATCTTTAACCAGATTTATTTCAAAATCTACTACATCATAGGGAAGTCGATATTGTGGAATTTCAGAAGAACTGAGACCGCCAATGTAATTGTATTTTTCAAAAATAGTTACGTCATTGTAGCCTAATCGTGCAAGAAATGTAGCACAAGATAAAGACGCTGGACCGCAACCGATCAATGCGATTTTTGTATCAGCATGTGGAACGGATTGATTAGGGATTCGTGTTTGAGGAACATTCATCTGCTTGAAAATCTAAAAGCATAAATAAAGAATTCCTTAGAAATTGACTAGCAAAGATTTTGTTAAGTAAAAATAATTTGATTACATCGGTAGCAAATTGTTGTAAACCACCAATATTGATAGGTCCTTCCTCAGTGGCATAAAGATTACATCCACCAACACAAAGATCACTTGTTGGGCAAACCATTCCACATGTAAGACCCAAGGGATTGTCCGAAAAAATAGCTTTAGCTGCCCCATAATAATTTCTGTTCGATATTGAAGTAATAAAAGATTTAATATCCAATTGCGTTGGACAAGACTTTTGACAAGGTGCATCAGCACATTTCAAACAACGAGCCGCTTCCTTTAAAGCACCTCTTTCACTCAATGTCGTATGTTTGATGTCATCGAAGTTATTTTTTAATGGTAAACAATTCTGTAATTTTCAATGAAGTTATTAGATTAAAAATGTATTTATTATACATTGTATGTACAATCTGTTTGACAAAAGCGTTTATGGTTAAATTTTGTTTTCCTATAAACCCCTTTATATAACGTTCGAAGTTTAATAGATTTTTCATTTCTCCATAGAAGAGAATTAATCAAACAAATTTGTGCGTGAAGAAGATACGAGTGTTAATCAGTGATAACTGATAATTCAATAGCTAATAGAAAACAGATTAATTTAAAACTTTAAATAACTATTGCTTCAACAGTGTTAAATGTTGTCCAATAATTATCATTAGTTAAACTTACGTCACATTTATCGTGGATATTTCTTTTCCATTTTTGTTTAATTGCTTTAGTTGCAGTGGATGGAACAACATTTGCAAATGATTTTATTCTTGGATTTAATTGTAATACATTCTGAAATACAATTATTGATACTGTTAGCTTATAATCAATGAATAAATGAATAAATAAAAAAGCTGGAGTCATATTTTATAAATAATTGAGTACTTACTTCAATATCGGTTATATCTTTGCTAATAAGAGTAGACGTTGCCATTTTCTAATATCTCTTATAATAAAAATGACAAATCTAATAATGCCAACTTAATCTTGTAAAGATAGTATCTTCAATATGGTCACTATTTTAACACTATTAATTAACAATTTTCAACTCTTTTTAAAATAACAATAACAACAGTACGAATTTACTGAAGCATCTGACTTCGAGTAAATCACCTCAATGATTTATTAACACCTCAAATGCACAATAATAGCCTCTCTCTCTCTCTCTCGATACTCTTACAGTTTCCTGCTATACGAATGAACTCGATTCGAAATTCCGAATGAACGTTCACGTACTATCTTATCTTACAAGATAACTTAATGATTACGTTGTATATATACAGATGTATTAGTGTGTATGATGCAATTGAATTTACACGTATATATATTTCTAAGAAAGAGAAACAAAAGATCAAAGTTCTTGTTGAATTTTTATATCAAATTTCACATATTTTGTAGTATGTGAATAATCACAATCTATGAAGTTAAATAAAAAGCGTTATGCTATAAAAATTTATATCACGGTGTATCATTGTAAAAACAAAAAAAAAAAAAGCAAAACATGTATTGTGCAAGATAGCAGAAAAATTGAAGAAATGCTTATCTAGAAGTTAGTTTAAGTGCTTGAAATGTGAGCCATTGAGTAGGTAGTAATCTTGAACTCTTTGTGGTCTAAGCGCTCTTCAATATTTCGTTGTAACAGGTTTAAATTCATTATTCATGACCTTACTAACATAATGTACTTATGAAATCTTATCTCATTTAGACTAAGATTAGGATATAGTAAGATAAAACTTGATGCAAGATGCACCAGTATGCAATGTTGTTCCATGTGTTGATCCACACTCGACATAGGACGTGCCAGAATGAAATGTTATGTCGAGTCACACTTGATATAGGTCTGCAAAGGATTAATAGAGTCCATTTGCTTTACTGAGCAACTGCTATCAATTGAACTAAGATTATAGAGTGGAGTACTTATGTAAGTTATATAGACAACAAATTTATATATGATCCATAAACAAATTTTAAACAGAAGAGGATAATGAATTTAACTAAAAAATAAAATAATATATATATATATACGGAATTGAAATAAAAAAAAAAAATATAGATATTTATCTCACTTGTGTCTGATATAATTACTGGATGAAGAGAAGGATTTATTGTATATTCATCGTTATGCCAGATACAAATCACAAATATGTCATCGTAAAACTAGAACATAACAGTATCGCACAGCTAACAAATTGTTTTCATTATTTTTATTCCGAATTAAGAATAACTGTAATGAGAAAAAGAAACGAATTAAGACCAATAAAGAAACTTAAGTTCTATGTACTAAATAAATCTTCAAAAATCTTTCATGATTGTGATATTGTTAGATTCTTCTTATCATAGTTAAAAGTAATGCGTAGTTTCTTTCAGTCAAACGATTATATAGTAATATAATATTTTATATTTAATTGTCGTTATTTACCATTTCACAATTGATCGTTTTGATTATTTCTTGCCATGACAGACAGCTGCATTTTAATGGCATAATAATTCACATTGAATTTCTACAAAGAAGATATTAATTCGGCACGTAATCACGTTATAAAGAATAATTTGGAAAGTTAATTAATAAATCGGGGAAATATTAAAAGAAAGAAGTTAACGGAAAGAGAAAGTATCAAAGTTGTAGTTGAAATTGATTATCAATCCCGCCGCGAGCTCGATAAATCGTCGTCAGCGCGTCAAGCGAAAAATGGCCGCGAACGTGAGAACAGGTGAGTCGTGATACTGTCCTTGTCATGGCCTTTTTTTTTACATATCTCCGTGACTTTTTCCATCATTCGATAAAAGTTCTATTGAAAGAGGTGTAAACGAAATGCTTGACCGATAAGGACTTGTTCGGAATGGAGTTTGGTAAAGAAGTCGATCAATATTATCTGTCTCTTTTTCAATTGTAATTTTCTCGCGTCAGCATACACACACACACACACACACATATCGCAGCTACGTCAAAGTTATCATTTACGAGTGGGGCCTTTAATCGTGCCGTTTTAGTCATCGATAACGAACGTGTCGCATTTCAAATGTATTATCACTTCGTTAATCGAGTTTAACGCAAATCGAGTGGGCGTATTTTTCAGAGGATCGCCCTCCACATTTTCTACGACTTTGAACAAATTATATGGATTTACATTTGACAAGAAATCGTTGTCATATACGTCGTGTCGTGATAGCGTCGTGATAGAGTCGTGACAAGACCGTGACATCGCCAGCTTTGATCTCTTTATTGTTTCATTTGATTACTGCCACTTCCTTGTGTATTTATTTACAGAGATGCGGATTCCTACGCGTACGGCTCCTCGTCCACCAGTCAATTCTCTTCCACAAAGAAGCAGCAACAATGTCTGGGGTAGCACGTAAGTTAGACGCATTACTATTTTCTTTCTTCTCCTTTTACACTAGATCTTTTTAAAGAAGTGTACCTAAAGTAGAAACTATGTTTACGTAAAGTCATTCTCGGTAGAGCGTGCAATAAATAACATGTTGCAATCGCATTCCATCAAAGAATGTCTATTACTGTGTTGCAAATACATTGCCAAATTAAACTGTTATGTCATTTTCTAACTTCCTATCTTCTAAAGAATCATTTAACTTAAACTTTTATATTTTCATTAGGAATGATATTTTTGGTAGCAATTTGATAAGCCAACCGATTCAGAAGAAGAAGCCACCACCGCGTCCACCTCCGCCTAAATTCAATCAGTATCAAAATCATACGCAAACTCAGAGGGATCAGAAATTAAAAAAACCTGTAAGACCGATAAGAGCTATTTTCTTGTAGATTTATATCGTTATAAGTTATTTATTTAATCGTTCTATCTTATTTTCCCAGACTCGACCCACGGAACTTTTGTCCAATTTCTTTGCGTGGAAAGCAGCCAAGCAAGAACACTCCAATACGTCTCGTTCTACTTTGAATTTGTCCCAGGTCTCGTGCCAGTCTTCTAATACCAATGGAGCACTATCTTTGATAGATCTTAGTCCACCTGGCTCTCCTACGTTTACCACGCGTTCTAGCAGCGATGGTGTTAGCATTGATAGTTTTGGTAGCGATGGTAATTCCAATCCTTCTGCGTTTACCAGCAGCGGTAATACCTCTCAGACGGAAAGTGCCTTTGAAGATGATTTTGACTTTTTTGGCATGTCTAATAAAAAGTTTCCGAGTAACGATCCATGGCAAATGAAACAACCAATGTCGGATCCATTTGGACCGATAGAGGACAAAAATACTGGTGGAAGGTTTGAAGATGTCAGGCAAATTGGAGATACCTCTTTTTTTGCTTTCAATGATAATTATACAGATAAACAAGTGCCTTTTGGACAAACTAGTTCTAAAGTGATTCACTCTGTGCCAACGATAATACGTCCAAAGCCACCTAAACCACCAGCACCAAAGATATTAAAACAAAAGTTGGAAGAAAATATCAATCAAATTCAAAGTTCATCTACTTTGAACTTACAAAGAACGATGAGACCTCTTAGCGAGCCAATATCCCTGGACTTGTCGTATTCGGTGAATGACGCGTGGGGCGATGATTTAAAAGAGGAGCCTTCTCCTCCGATGCCAACGATACCACCACCAGCACCACCTTTGGAATACTTAACTCAATCTGAAAATGAATTTCAGGTATATTGGAATATCAATGTATATTACATTCGTATTATCTTTGTTTCCTTTTTATACAATTGTAAGATAATGTAAACTTTGAAATTAATTGAAATTTGTAGGAAAATTCTAAAACACCCTATGGTATCGCGCTTTATGATTTTCCTGTCACACATTCAGATGATTTACCTTTAAAGGAAGGGGATGTTGTTACCTTGATAAGAGTTGTCAACGACGATTGGATGGAAGGAAGGGTGGGAAATCGACAAGGAATATTTCCAATCAACTTTCTTGATATAAAAGTTCCATTACCTGGATTACAAGATGACATTGTTGTTGCCCTATATTCTTTTAAGGGAGAGACCTCCGAAGATTTGCCGTTTGAGGTGAGTTAGCAAAAGTAACATTATTCTTCATTTATTTTGCAGTCCATATATACTGAAACTTTGCTATGTTTATACAATATATAAATATTGATTATAATCGTACTCTAAGGAAGGAGCCAAAATTAAAGTTTTGTCAAGACTATCGGACGACTGGCTATATGGCGAATGCAAAGGTAAAAAGGGTCAATTTCCAACTAATTATGTTAACAGAATTCCATACAGTATTTCTCATTCAACATAATCATCGTTTTACAATTTTCGGCCTTAGAATATAATAATTGCTTTGATATTGCAAACATTTTCTATTATTCCTTTGATATTCGTCTTTTAAATAAATATATCCATTATTTTTTTTAATAGAAAATTTCGAAAAAATTTATACTACAAAGTAGTATAAGTTTTTATAAAATTTTACTCGTATAAGGGAAGACTGAATTATACAAGCATATAGAAAGAAAACAAAAAAAAAAAAAACAATGAGAAACAAATAACTGTTCAAATAACTGTTGCCTTAAAAATCAAGATCATATTCTGAGTAAATTTATTTCTTGGAAAAATATCTTTCTATTTTGTAGCATATATTGATTGAGATTCTGCAGTATTGCAGTACTAATTTGTAATAACATCTTTATATTTACGCAAATGTTTGCAATATATATTAAATTACAATTTTTATCTCGTTTTAATAGCAATTCGTATTTATACAATTGAATGAAATCATGTGTTGTATTATTTATATACTTTGCAGTTAAAAGTTACAAATTATTAACTGCACAGTATTGTAGCATATCTTGTTATAAATTATTTTCCATTAAATATAGAAAAGAGTATAATGTATTATTTCTTATATTTAAAAAAAACTCATTATAGTCTTAAGACGGCAACTTAATGTAAATTCGATTCGTTTGCGAATATTGTTAAAATATTTAATAATTTCAAGTATTTTTATCAGTACCATAAATTATTGTAAGCAGATCTTTAATATTAATATTGTACATCTCTTATGTACAAATATTATATATAAAATAATATTTAAATAATTCATTGAATTATGTAAAATATATATTTCTTGTACGAAACATTTAGTAATATAGAAGTTAGTGTAGTTTTAAAATGTGATGTATTAAAATTTGTTATTATTTATACATATGTAATTGAAAAGCTTTATACCTTTATAAGTTTTGGGTATTTTTTGTAAAAGCAAATGGAACACACACACACACATATATATATATATATATATATATATATATATATTTTGTTAGTAAAGGAAAGTACACTTGTTTTGTTATTTCGTGTACTGTATGAAATAATTCAATTGATGAAGTTTGTTTTACTCCAGTTACCAGACAAAGAGTGATACAGTTAGAGTATAGGCATATATACGAATAGAATAAGAGCATAATCTTTATACATTTTATTTTTTATTTATTTCAGTATATAAAACAGGAATAATTAATTGTAATTAACTGCATAATGTTCATAATTTGTCTCTATAATCAAAGAATATGAAAATATTCATGAAGTTGTATTAAATATAACAGATACGAAATAGTCGTATCCACTTTAGAAACTTCTATTGGGACCAGACATATTTTAAATATTTTTAATTACATATGTATATATGCATATATATATGTATTGTGATATTTTACTGCATTCGTATATAAATTTCTCTCATGTAAAAAGAAATAAATGATTCATATCATAAAATATCGCATTATCTGAAAAGAACACATTGAATTATAACTAATTCTTAAATTATTCTTTTTCATTTATGGCAGTTTACAACTGTTAAGTTTTATTTCAACTTAGTTGCACAATGATCCACAATGATTAAATGATCGATGCAACGTTGCTACTATTTTGCGTAGTAATATTATTGTTAACGAAAGACTCGTCGAACGTGACAACTTTGATAAGCAATATGCTCGGAGTTCGTATAGATTTGAATCGGTCTTCACACTTACACCAGGGAAGATACTTTGTTAATTTTGTCGATGTTAATATGATTTTGCAATCGATCAATTTTTGTATTACAACGCTTCGAAATTTTTCTCCCGTAAGATAATATAAAAAAAAATTGCATGCAAAATTCCAATGGTATAGATGAAAGAATAGTCCACGACACCACTTCAACAACATTTTCTCTTCTAGCCTAAAACATATATTTTCCTATGTATATATTTTATAATTAATATATTAATGTATAGCATTCTTACCAATTGATGTATTGTTTATTTTCTTTTATATTATTTTCTGGATATTTAATTAATATCACATCCCAATAGAGCTCCAAAGTTTCAACTATTCCAAGTGGTAATAGCAAAATTAAGTATACCATTGATACTGCTAATAAAGTCCTACTCTTTTTATTTGATTTATTAATATTTTGGCAGAAACTGCCTAAGGAAAAACGTGTGTATAGACAGACAGGTACAGATAAAATATCTGGAGAAAAATGTTGATCATACAAAAACTAATAATAACTACTTACGAGTTAATTGTCTACGATGCGTGTCCAATTTTTTCATATGTATAACTAGTAAAACATTACCAACAAATATAAAAGTAAGCGGTAGCCAAGTTGATAGTGCGATATATACATACATAGCGCTACCCCAAGGTTTGATTTTCTTTTGACAGGGTTTAAATTCAAAAACGCTATCAGTTTCGTATCCTACAATTATTCAGACTTGAAATACTTTTACTCTTCGAACAGTTAGATGTTACAGCTAACAGTTTATCTAATTTATTATATATTCAAATACTTCGTTTTTTATTTGATTACCTCCAGAGTATAATTTTGTTAATGATATTATGAAGCTGACGCATGTCAGAGTAGTTACACTTATTATTGCAGAACGATCAGGATTACTACTATGAGCTTCGAATGGAAAAATAATAGCAGAAACTCGAGCCCATGTTAAAGATACGACCAGCCAAGTAGATGTAAATTGAAAGAGTTCCATTGTCACAGAACTGGTATCGCATAGAAATTTACTGTTCTGCAAATGTTAAATGTGACATTAAAATATCTATAACATTTTATTATTATTTTATATTGAAACTTTTTTATACATATTCATTGTGCAACAACTTACCATGAAAAGATCATTGACAAATGTAAATTGTGATTTTGCTATACCTACTGCATAATTAAATATTAATGCTCCATTGTCGGATATAGCAAGAGCTTTTAAATATAAGGATAAGCTCGAGTCACCTGACACGGGTGCATTTAATATTGTAAACGATACGGTATTTAATATCACGCCTATATATATAGGACATATAAAATAATGTCATTCATTTTTCATCATTTAATCTATTGGTATGAAATAAAAGTAGGTAATAATTCTTACCGACAATTATAATAAATGGAGTCACATAACTGAGTAAAAATCGTACAAATTTAACGAATGGTTGTAACGACAACCAATAATAACGTGCTTCGCATGGCCACGTTATTTCTAAATCAGGTTCCGTGAAATTATATAGAAAATCCAAAACAGTTAGGTTCAAGGAACATTCCTTGTCGGTCCTTAAAAAAAAAAAATAATATCGTTTTATCGTTAACATAACTCATTACATACGAGTCGTCTATGTGTGGTGATGAGAATAATTCTTACCTGAAAGAATATGTATTGGAAGAATTACAAGATTGTGTCGGTTGCAACCCTGACGCAACTAGCATTGTAAATAACAATATTTGAATGTCTTTCAAATTATAAAACGAATATTTATGATTACAAAATTGAGGTAAATTACTATTTAGAAGTAAGGTAAACGTATTTACAATGATTTTTTATTATATGAACAACTAATTCACACTTTTGATCAGGTGACAAAAAAAGAAACAATGAAGCATTTTGTTGAAATTCTTATAATAATGAATAAATAAATAAAATATTAAGTTTTGTCTGTGCACGATCGATCACACATCTTCCATCGGACACTTTGTCACTATCGTGAACAGTGATGATCTCCTGTTATTAGAAGCTGCAAAGGCACCTGTCGTCAATTATCATAACATCGAATTATTCTTTGTAAATATCATTCCAATGCAGATACCAGCATGTATATCATATATGGTTGCGAACAGAGAGACGACTGTATTACACGTGTCTATAGATACATGACGATGTAGTAGATGTGTTCAAAGTTCCTTCGGGTGGATGGACGAGGGAGGATAAGATTAAGTACATTCATTATTTTCGATCAACTCGCGTATCTACCAACAAATACGAGACGATTCATATAAAACTCGAACTTTCTTTAACTTTTTTTTTTTTTAACCTTTATTGTTTCGTGATAATAAATACAAAAATTTCAAAAAGATAAATCCAATGCAGAAAATTGTGACTAGCATTTGATAAAACATGTTTGTTCGTTTCATACAAGTTTGATGAAATTGTTGGTAAATGCATATATATATTTAAAATTTACATACAATTGGAAAAATATTTTTTTTCTTTTTCTTTCTTTTTTTTTTTTTTCTTCACAGCCACTGAATAGCAACAAAGGTATCTATTACGATGTGTATCGATTACAAATTTCACTTTGTGTTCTATCATTATTTCTAATTGCATCGTTTCTAACAAATCAAAACGAATCGTATAGTCGTTAGATAAGTAAATGAACAATAAATCGTTATTTAATTATCTAGTAATAGTAACGTAAAATAAAAAAAAGATTATCCTGAGATATATATATATATATATATGTATATATATATAATACATGACATACAGCAGGGTACACCACTATCCAGATAATTGATATTATTTAGGATGACAAATTGCACGCAAAACATGATTATGACAGTAATACGAAGAAGAGACAATTAATATTTATTTTTTCTTGCACCGACGCCGATTATAAATTATAAATGTCTATTGTTACTATTTCGTGCATGATTATATAATTAATCAACAATATGCAGCGATTGTAAGGAATAGCAAGTTAAGTGCAAAAGCATATTTCAATATTTCTTTATAATAAAATAATTCTGCTTGTAACATTTGATTAAAATTGTATTTAAAATGAATTCGTAAGCTGTAAACGAGCTGTAAACGAGCTATAAACGAGCTGTAAACGAGCTGTAAACGAGCTGTAAACGAGCTGTACACGAGCTGTACACGAGCTGTACATATACATAGCGTTATTTCTAATATCACTGTGGTAAGAAATCAATCTATACATAAAATAAATCTATACGTATACACAAATATATACAACACATGACGTATATGTGATATATTTTGCGAACTATACAAAAATTGTCCTACAGTCATTTTCACTTTTTTACATTACTTTCTACAATTGAATATGTTCGTTGTACTGATCGAGATTAATTTCTTACCTGAGAATTCAAATGTATACTAATTAGCCAATAAATTGTATTATTAAATATTAGTACATAGATAAAAGTAAATGAAAAATAAGAAATAATAGTGCTTCTTTCTATGCTAGTGCTAAATTGCGGATAGTACTTTTTTCAGAAGAGTATCCGTTAAAACATTGTTCTTCGTAAATGTCGTAAATTCGACAAAATACCTTCTTATCCCTTCTCGATTCGTCAATAATACATATCAACAAGAAGATTCTTTCATTTTATTATGAAAGATGAGAGTGTAAATGGCTCGTATTTCGATCGTTCATTTCAATCTTTCTCTCTAAGGTATCTTAAATCAATGGTAATAACATACGCGCAGACGGGGACGACCTCGATTAACGCCATTCGAATTTCTACAATCAATGTAACTTGTGTAGATTGTATTATCATATAATGCAACATTGGCGTCAATTGAGAACTATAACTGCTGCTATTGCCCATATATCTATCTTATTATTGTACTGTGTATTCCTACGCATAATATTTACAAAAATATGCGTTCCACCAAACATCTATGGCATTATGGCAATACCTACTCTGCCTTTTATCCATTCAATATAATTGGAAATTAACATTATCTGGCTAATTAAGTGCCTGTTATATTTCCTATTTCATCAATTATACAAGTCATTATTTTAATCTGGTCTGTATATCGGTATTTTGGGAATAAATTCGATTAAAAGTACCTGCAAATTAATAAATAATATTATTTCATAAATTTTGGTTAACAATTAAATTGTATTGTAACTTTTTCAACATACGTATTCCATCATGGAGGAGCTATCACATCTTTGTTTAGTTAGTCGCCAATGTAACCCGAGTTTATGATACAGTCTACCATTCTCCCATTCTAACAATTTATTAAGCAAATGCTGTGTCTATTTAAAATAAGAACATAATTATAGTAATAGTATAAAAGTAGAATGTGTGATTAAACAAATGAAGACTCACCCTTTTACTTAGGCAAATGACTGGCCACAAAGAACATCCCAATGTACAGCAGCAACAAACGCAACCACAGAATAACCATTTAACGTTAACTGGTAAAGTCTTTTTTAAGACGCTATTTATTCTCATAACGGTTGCCTTGAATTCTTCCGGCGCTACTCTGGATACCAGGCCACTGGGAAACTCGGATTCGAAACGATTGCTAAGTCCAAACCTAGGATATCAAAGTATAATAAGTATTTCATTAAAAACAAAACAACACAATAGATATATTATGCATGTACTTACACAGTCATATTTCCAGCTCCACGAATAATTATAGGATCAGGCACCATCGTCACATAATGCTCTTCCAAATTTTGTTCATTTTCCTCTTCCTCCTCGTAAATGGCATCAAAGTCCGCCATATTCAATTAACAAATTCGATTGTTCCCGCTTTAAAAGGCAATGTATACGAATGAATATACAACAACAATATCACGTAGCAACTAAACCTTGACTATTCTTCTAAAGGCAACAAGGCAGCAAGCAATTTAGGGTTTCACAATCAGGGTTGCACGTTTTTTATTTTATTTTATTTTTAATATTTTCTTTCTCTTTAAATCCCACTAGAAACTTTCTCTTTAGCATGTTTTTTCTCCGTTGCTCTCGAAATCATCGTATCTTTTTAATATAAACGATGATGATAAGTATACGATTGAAGAACAGTTCAGCTGTTTCCTGTTCTAAGATTTCCTTCCTAATTCTCTGACTAATTCTCTTCTCGAAACACTAATCGATAACCACTTCGATAGTCGATAGTCCATAGATTCATCAACTTGAGTTTCGATAATCGATATTAGCTCATCGTGTCGTCATCGTGTATGCAGTTGGCTGCGATACACTGACAATGATCCCATTCGTACGATAATTGGAGGTCTTGTACGATCCATTTGGGGGATCAAAGGTCATCAACTTTGAAAAAGTTGGACCTTTGACACTTTTTCCACATTTTGAAAATCTCGTTCGAGAAATTGCCGGATTTCAAATTTTCCCGGGGCGTACGATAATTTTACGCCCCTGTGTCGATCAGACGAACTAAAGTCTCTGGGATCACTGTACACTGTGGGCGGTTTATTCGGTTGATATATGTCATCACATTGTTTATGTATTATTTATTCTTCCTATAACCGTTTTAAATATTAATTACAAGTGTCAAAGTATTTTGTGCATTAGAAGGATAATTCTTTAGGTGAAAAAACGTAAATTTCTACGTTAATTATTAATAAGGTATATAAAAGAAAATGTTAATACGTTATTGCATATAGAGGTTAAGTTTAAGTTTTGCTTGAAATTCATCTATTTTGTTCTTACTATTTATTATGTGCACTATATTTTTCTTCTATTTTTCTTCTATTAAATAGTTTAATATATTTCAATGGAAATGCTTATCAATTAATATGTTCATTAATTTATATGAATTACAATAGTTTCAGAAAATATGTCAGACGACGAAGATTTGGTATATGTAAAGAAACAAAAAATTGTACATTATGGATCTTTGGAAGAAGCAGAACGTGCTCGTCTTGCTGCAGCAGCAGAGGGTTCGGAAGAAGAAAAAGAAGCCAATAATTCTAACGATGCAATTAACGTATCCATGGCTGGCAATATACATATCTCCAATGAATATATGGAATTGGAAGATGAAATGTCGAAAGATAGGCAAGCATTGTTGGAAGAATTTGAACGCAGGAAGAAGGCCAGACAGATCAACGTATCCACGGATGATTCAGAGGTAAAAAAGAATTTAAGACAGTTAGGCGAGCCAATATGTTTGTTCGGCGAAGGTCCTGCAGATAGACGAACCAGATTAAGAGAGTTGTTGGCGAGCCTTGGAGAGGATGCGATAAAGAAGAAACACGAAGAAGAGGAAAAGCCTTCTCATGCGGTTGAGAGGGATACAGAATCTACGTGGTATCACGAGGGACCGGAATCTCTTCAAATAGCTCGTTATTGGATAGCAAGTAATAACAAACAACTTGACATTTTTCAAGAAAAACGAAATAACAAGCTTTCATTTTGTATGTTGATTCTTCTTTTTCTTCTCTTGCAGCTTTTTCTTTAGCCAGGGCAAAAATCAGGTTAGAAAAAGCAAGACAGGATTTTGAATTGCCAGGTGCTACCCGTACAGCTCGTAGACAAGAACTTTTGAAAAAGCTCCAAGCCTTATCCATATATTGTTCTCAAATCGGTGATACAAGACCAATATCGTTTTGTCAGTTTAGTCCTAATTCAAAAATTCTTGCTACAGCCTCGTGGTCTGGCTTATGCAAATTATGGTCTGTACCAGACTGTACTCTCTTACGAACTCTTCAGGGTCACGCCTGTAACGTCAGTTGCATCGTTTTCCATCCTAATGTCACCCTTTCCGAAGAGATTGTAGGAGACGAAGCAGGACAGACATGCGTATTGGCATCTTGTGCTTCAGATGGTATTCATATTTAAGGTATTTTTAGTATTTTTTTGTTTCTTAAGTCGCTTTATACAATTGTCTCTTTTTAGGTACTGTCAAATTATGGGCTGGCGGTAAAGGTGAAGAACCTTTAGCAGAAGTCGAAGGACATGAACCACACAGAGTTTCACGGATTGCTTTTCATCCATCGGGAAGATTTCTTGGAACTTGTTGTTACGACGCCTCCTGGCGGTTATGGGATTTAGAACAACAGGCAGAAGTTTTGCATCAAGAAGGTCATGCTAGAGCTGTACACTGTATGAGGTAATTTGCATACTATTCTAAAAAGTTATTAATGATATATATTAATACAGGCAGTAATAAATAAATACGTCTTCTATTCCAATATAGCTTTCAGTCGGATGGTAGTGTCAATGCTACCGGTGGTCATGATTCTTTTGGTAGAGTTTGGGATTTACGAACGGGTAGATGCATTATGTTCATGGAAGGGCATTTAAAATCTATCTTTGGCATCGATTTTTCACCCAATGGTTATCACATAGCCACAGCTAGCGAAGATAATACTTGCAAGATCTGGGATCTACGGAAAAGGTCTTGCATATACACTATTCCTGCTCATACCAATTTATTATCGGACGTGAAATATCAAAGAGGAGAAGGCCAGTATTTGGTTACATCATCGTACGATAATACGGCCAAAATTTGGTCGAACAAAACCTGGCAACCGTTAAAAACTTTGCCAGGGCACGATGGCAAAGTGATGTCCATCGATGTTTCTCCCGATCACAAATTTATCGCGACCAGTTCCTACGATAGGACATTTAAATTATGGGCACCCGAAAATATTTAACATATCTAAATAATAATAAATAATAGAAAAATTCCTTCTTTCCTAAGGAAGAAAGAACAACAGAATTATTTGTATACTTTCGACATACAATTTTAAGTAATAAAAAGAAATATCTTTACGTTGCATCACGTTGCATCACGTTGCATTGCGTTATTCGTATGCGAAGTGTCGCCTACGCAACGTGGATTTTAAAAAAATACGCTTTAAAATATCGTTCAACGATCGTTCAACGTTGTAAATATTTACTAATATATTACGCAATCAAAGAGGGATGGATCTATTGGACCCTGTACCCGTTGTTATGGTGCACCTTTGGTTGGCCCTCGTATCTAACTTAACGTTATCATCTCTGATAAAAGGCAATTGACGCAAGTATTCTTACATAATATTGTATTGCATTATTTATTTTTTTTTAACATTAAAGATATGTTACCCGGTTAACAGTAATTTTATTGTCGAAAGTTTGACAAAATAATACTAATAATGCGAGTACATTGATTAAAGAAACGGTGACTAAAGTAGAGTCTTTAGTAAAACGGATAAGAATAGAAATGAAGTAAAAAGAAGCTATTTCTTCTATATTAAAGCTTGCGCGATGAAAATGATTAGGCGTTATTAACAAACTTTTGCCGGCCAAACTTTTTCATTTCAACGAGGAATAACTGCTAGAACTAGGTTGAGTTCGTGCGTCAAGGTTTTTCCACTTGGCTTGCATCTCCTTTCATTTATAATAATTAGCTTAATCAGCTATAATTTTATTTACATTATATACAAAATAAAGAAAGAGAGAGAGAGTTATCGTAGCATTTATCGGCTCTTTATCATTTTGCCTTTTCCTTTAATAAAAATCCTTCGTTCAATTTTTCTTATGGTTTGTATACGTGAAGGAATGATCCTGGAATAATCTTGAAATAATTGTTTAAAAAATTGTCTTATAAGTGTTTGTATAAGAATCATAAAAATATATGATCGTAATAGAAAAGATCTCATTGAGAGTCATCCAAAGGCATAGTTTGATGCAACCAACTTATGCTACCGCCTTCAGCGAAGTCTGCAGCAGCGTGTCCGTCTCCGTGCAAAATCCATTTGGTCGTTAAAAGACCATCTACTCCTACGGGGCCGCGTGCGTGAATTCGAGCCGTAGAAATGCCGACCTTATAAACGTAAACGTAATGATATTAGGAAAAATTTGTTTGTAAGTTAGATTTATTGTTCGACTAAATGAAATTTACCTCAGCACCAAGGCCAAATCTATAACCGTCGGCAAATCTGGTGCTCGCGTTATGGAAAACGCAAGCGCTGTCAACCTCTCTTTGAAAGTGAGCCGCCTTTTCTATATCCTCCGTAACGATGACGTCTGTATGCGCGCTCCCATATTTATGGATATGAGTTATAGCATCTTCGACATCGGAGACGACCTCGATGGTGCACTCGAGAGAACCGTACTCGGTTTTCATACTTTTAGCGGCAGGTGGTCCGAACGTCAGTAACTCTCTCAACCTTGGTCCAGAGTAGATCTTCACCTGCAAGTTGAAATATTTTCATTAAAACATTTTAGTTTACATAATTTACATAATCGATTAACAAATATTTACTCACTCCCTCCTTTTGTAACATGTTGCAAACATCCGTAAAGAATGATCCGCTCATATGTGTTTCATGAATAAGCAAAGTTTCCATGGCGTTGCAAGCTGCCGGATAATCGCACTTGGAGTCTCTGATGATTTTAAGCGCCTTACCTAAATTTGCCTGATTATCGACGTAAACGTGACAGATACCCTCGGCGTGACCCAAAACCGGTATATGCTTCGACTGTTCTTGGATGGTACGTACAAGTTCCGAACTGCCACGAGGAATGATTAAATCAATGTGTTTTTCCATCGATAATAGATCGCCTACGTCTTCTCTGGTCGAGACGAGAGAAATCGCGTTAGAGGCACCTACTGTATTCAGTGCTTCCTTCACCAATTCGATAAGATATTTGTTACTGTAGGCAGCTTCTTTTCCACCTTTCAAAAGGAGACCGTTCGCAGTGGACATAGCCAGGGCTGCTACTTGCGGCAAGCTGTCAGGTCTCGACTCGAATATAACGAGAAGTACGCCGATTGGTACGGTTATTTGTTTAAGTTCCAGTCCTTCTGCCAATTTGGTTCTTCTCACAACACGACCAACATTTTTCAAAGAGTCATCCGCTATTTGTCGTAGACCCGCGCTCAAAGATTTTAATTTACTAGGCGTAAGAGACAATCTCGAGAGCAGAGCTTTCGCGAGACCGGTCTTGCTCGCAATTTCCAAGTCTTTGGCGTTTGCCTCGAGGATTTCTTTCTGTCGGGTTTCCAATAAATCTGCTAAAACGTTGATGCAATTCGCTCGTTCCTCCGCTCGAAGAGCTTGCAATACTCTGCTGCCAACGCGTGCTATAATTAAACGTACAAATTAACGTGTAATAGGAGATTGACATGATTTTGGAAAGAATTTGATAAATAAGCTTACCATTTTCTGCGATTACTTCGACGGGTGTAGACGAGCCGGTAGTCTCCGTGAAAAACGTTCCGATTTTCCTACCCGACATTATACTCTTAATGGCTTTTTCCTGAGTACCGTTGCAGATGACTACTGAAACTCCACGATCCAAAGCCCAAAGAGCAGCGTTTACTTTAGAATCCATACCACCTGTACCGACTTTAGACTTTTGACCAAACTTTATGGTACCCCTCAAGTCCGAACTGAAGGTATGCAACATCTTGGCACCATCCTGCCATGGAGGAAGATTGTAAATACCATCGACGTCGCTCATTAGAATTAACAGATCGGCCTGAACTTCGGCAGCCAACATCGCCGCTAAAGAATCGTTGTCTTTGATGGATATTCCTCTTCTTCCACCTCCACCAGCAACTTCTTCGTCCACGTGAGGCGGAGGCGAAACTGCATCGTTCGTATTGATAATCGGTACGATGTTTAAGCTGATCAATTCGCTCAATGTGCTGAACAAATTTTTCCTAGTCTCCTCGTTGTAAAAATCAGGTTTCGTTACCAATACCTGAGCTAGTTTAACGCCATATTGCGCAAACATGGCATCGTAGAGAGACATCAGCCCTGATTGACCCACAGCTGCTGCCGCTCTAGGTTCCAAAAGAGTTCCTGCATCCGATCAATTCAAATTTGTCGCGAAAACCTTTACTATAATTTAGTATAATTTAGTAATACTTCAACTACCTACTTAAAAGAATTAACTTTGAAATATATATTGAAAGGAGGAAGAACCTAACTTCTTCCATACTTGATTTTATTTATTTAACTTATTACGAAGAGGAGAGTTGTTGTAAGTTGAAATTGGTAATTGGAAACGGATAATAGGTATTTCTTCGCTTTTAATGGAGTTCTCAGGTGTGAAATAACTCTCTTCGCGGACTTGGAGTTTGCCAGGCAGCTAATTTAATCTCTAGCAAAGGAATAACACGAAAACTTTCAAGAGAAATTCTTATCCTTGAATGATTTGATAGGGACTTTTATTCGCTTATTTTTCAACGAAAGGCGTTCCTTTCCAATTCATTTTTAATTCATTTCGAACGAACAAACGAATTTCCAGAAAGATGGATAAAATATATATACATTTATATATATACATTTATATTATATGGCATACTATTGGCATCGACATATATCAGAAATTTCTTTAGTTCAAAGAAAAACTTATTCTATTCAATTTGTTATATTTGCATACACATATAGCGAAAGGAAATTTATTCTTTTCTTGTTACGCGTGTGCAAACTCGTGCGTGCATTTTCAACTATAGGAAATAACTTGCTTGTATTTTTCTTTTTTCTCGTGGGATCATATAGAAAGTTTTATCAATGGTGTGTCGCTTTTCTTAACTTACCAGCATGTTCCCGTGTATGGTCAGCTGGACTAAGCGTCTCTCGCATGGACAGTGACATAAGCAACTCTTGTGTGAGTTTCTGTTTGCCGAAGGCAACAGCACCGCTAGTCACCATGATGCATTCTCGACCTTCATTCTGGCATTCGGCCACTTGCTCGACGATGGAAGCTAAACGTCCAAGGGCCAGTCCGTGTTCATCCTCTCTCGTGATCACTGCGCTTCCAAGTTTAACGACTAACCTACGAGCATATTTCAGCTGGCTGCGATCATTGAAGGTAGTTGCTCGTCGTGGTCTATCCGAGGTTTGTAACTCCCTTCGCAATTCCACTCGATTACCCTTTGAAAAAAACACCGAACGATTCTCTTAGTACATTCATTTATTATCTCAATTAGCATAACATTATTTGACAAACCAGCAAAGTTTTTTGTGTTATGATCATGTCAAAATCTAACTATAGCTAACTGGATTTTTTCGAACGTGGACTAGGCCACTTTCCAAATAAGCGGCTCATGTATCGTAGGTTTATCCTTGCTCGATATCACAAGACGATATCATACGACAATATTATACGACAATATTATACGACAATATCATACGACAATATTATACGACAATATTATACTAAGATGCGCGTAAGAATTTTGTATGTTTGACTCTTCAACGTTATCTTCTTGGGATTATTGAAGATAAAAATTTGACGAGAAGAACGATGGACGTGTAGTTTAGATAACAATTTCTTCTTATGTTATTTTTTTTTTTTTTCAATTTCTCAAAATATTCCTTTCTTTTTCCATCCAACTTTAATAAGAAGTTTTCACGAAATGGCGCATTATTTATTTTCTTTATTTTCTTGTAATTTCAATCATTTTTCCATTTGCATATCGTCAATAAAACTTCCTTTGACGTAAAACTCGAATAATTTCGCAATTGTAATGTAATCGTTTAGTTGCAAGAACGTGCCTCGGTAAACGATTTCGCGCAACGTTCTTATCTTTTAATCCGCTCTAGATTCGCGAGATTTATTTTTACAAAAATGCATGTAATTATAAAGAAGAAGAAGAAGAAGAAGAAGATTAATTTTGCGTTATTATTTTACAAAAAATCCTCAGCAAGTTGTTTAAGCTTTTATCTTGAAAAGTTTTTCTCTACTCATACTCGATATCACACTCGATAATTGATTATTCGTATAAACAATAAATTTGCAAACAAAAGAATATATTTAAACTTACGGTTTGTTCCGGAATTCTCAATCCTGTCGAAGACGAGGCAAATCTCCTTCCGCATTGTCCAAGTCTGTTAAATTTCGTCAACACCAGGGATAAATACATGACGACTTTGTTTTTTTCTTGAAATTTCTTTTTGATAATTCTTAATGATCCTTTGACACAAAAAGATTCTCGAAAC